GTACAGGTAGGCGTACGCGGCGACCGGAACGCGAGACTGTAGTCTCGTGCGTACCTCACGAGCCTGCAATCTGAAGTCAAGGGCGTGGTCTGCTGATCTGGACGTGAGACCGGAGTCTCATCCGTAGATAAGGCAGATGACGCGTGCTGTTGACTGGGACGTGAGAATGAGGTCTTTGATTTCGCTAGCGTGGGATCAGGAGGAGAAATAAGGATCCCGCTAGTGAGTTGGACGACTCCAGCATTAACTCTCGATTTACCAGGTAGGGCACTGTCATTGACCCGTGCTGGTATGAGACGATCAATGCTGACTGTGTCCATCAACCTTGAAGGTCTTTTCGTGACGATAGATCACGTGAAAAGATACTTCGTAAGGTTGTTGAGTGCCTAATTTACTCGTAAGAAAACATGCGGACAGGTGAATAACTCTCGAGGGAGAGCGACCTGTCAATGTTATATTCGAGTTCACACCGGAGGCAGTGTTCGTATCTACGCAGATAGTCGTTGGTCGTTATCTGGTTTACATAAAATCGCTGCTCCGTGGTGTGAAAAATTCCTCAGGCAGATACATTGTCGTGCCGTATACAAATTCGGAGGCGGGTATCTGCCATTGCTGCTCTGTAATAGCCGTGTCGTCTCCAACAAATGCCATTTTTCTGCGAACCGAATGGAGAGACGTCTTAAGGAATGTGAGAAAGACGAAGTAATACATATAGCAAATAAACTGGTAAACTCACGCTTAGCGAAAACCAATATGTCCAGTGCCAGTGGGTGAGGTTCAGCCATGACTGAGGGTCTGCAGGTGACAATGCGGCTTACCACATAATTAATCACCAGTTGAATCTCCTCGGTTTCGTTACTTTGGGGAATTTATCAAATATAACATGAAATAAATAATAATGTAGAAATATATTCGTGATTCGGTACATATTCGCTTGCGCGTTAAAACCCACGGATTTGACATTCGACGAAGTGTCGATCAACTGCAGCCTACGTGAATCGAGTAACGATTCATAGAGCTGTAGGGTATCGATACCGAGTGCGGCTATGGGAACATCAGCAGGGATGAACGTCCACAGATACTGTCAATGATTGTTCAGGTTAATCGTTAGCTGTCGTGTACCGTAGGTAGGAATGACTTAGGCCATTCGTAGCGCGTGGTCGAAGCATCGCAGCTTATAACTTGCTGCTGCCAAACGATACGACAGAAACTTGGGCAATTGTAGCTGCCAAGTACCTAGCGTTATTTCAAAAATCGTGCACGTAAAATAAACTTACAACCTGAATTAGGCGTTATAGCGAGCAGCAAGTTAAGAAATATGGCAGCAACGCCAAAAAGAACGTTGCGCGCAAGTAAGTTTTTAGTGCAGTCAAACAAAGCAAGTACAATAATAAATGTTTTCTTTTCAATAATTGCGTTTCCTTCGTAGAAGTGTTCCATTACAATACTTTCAGGTGAGACTAGAAAAGCCAACCGATCTTCACAAGCCACTTACGGAAAAAATTGAAGACATCTGAAGGTCACCAGTTGTCAAGCCCTTTCGTTTGCCAGCTTCAAGGGGCGGCATTTGGAGTGGTGATTGTCACTTTCATTATGGCACACAGGCGCTTCGATGATTCTAATCCCACTGATCGAGAGTGCGATAACTGTCACTTGAATCTTCTTCAAAAAGATCAGGAAAAGAAGTAATTGTGTTAGGAATGATAAATTTTTAAAGGTTACTCCCATCGTCCAGCATTAAGTATAAGGACTTGGTAAGTCACTCGACAATAATCATGTGAAACTAAAGTTTGGATATGCCACTCCTGGAGAGATTTTCCTTCTTCTCCTTGGGTCGTTTCTTTCCGTTGTTGTTGGGGCTGCATTTCCTGTATCTATACTAGTCTTCCGCTGGATCGTTAACGATTTCATGAGCCCTGTGGGTATTTCATACGTAAATATTTACCGTGCATCTATCTGGCTTGGAGTTATTGCGGCCAGCACCTTTCTAATATCGTTTTGCCAAGTGTGGTTCACAAATATTTGCACTTCACGTGTTGTAAAGCGTATCAGGCAACGTATGATCCAAGTATGATTTTCATATTAAATAAATTTGTATTTAATTTTATCTCTCATTTGTATGCCGTATTGTAGGTCATTTGATAAAGCTTCAATTGTAGGCTTCTAGGTTCTTTCCGCTTAGTTTATCAGACTTTGAGTTCACTCTCTTTGTGCGTAATAATCTAGCTATTCAAAAATTATGAATCATAGCAAAAGGAAAAGGCATAGATTCGTTAAGTATGTGAAAATTGGATTTTTATTTGTCATTCAAGCATTTCGGATTTATCGTTAATTACGGCATAAAACATGTTAGAGCGTCATGTCACTTTTTTGGCTTGATTCGATAGCAATATCAGCTGTACTATTTACGCAGCATACAAGTTAATTTTTCCGTCTTCATATAATCGTTCAAAAACAGCTGCAATTGAAATTTAGCGACATTAGCACATTTTTGTCGTTTACTTTGACCAAATAAAGCTGCGCCTTTTTACTGTATTGCGTGTCGCCTTAAGATATTAACAGTTTTTCACTAGTTCTGGTAAAATCGTACTTCACTTGTTCATTGAAAATATATATTGCTTTAACATAATATACATTGTAAGGGTAGTCAATATTTTTTTGCTTGATTATCAACAAGAAATCTATAGGTTTGTTCAGCACTAAACAGTATTGCAGAGATGGCTTAATCAAATAAAGGTGATCGTGTCGTATCCGCCATAAGTAGTCGCATTGCACATATTTTTGGACTTGAAAGTTTTTCAAATAAACCACACAAGAAGCTACCAGCAAAACACTGCCGCTATTGTTCGGCTCAAAATCGCTTGAGATGGCGCAAGTGCGTCCATTCTTTGACTACTCTGAAATTCTAATCTAAATCCCCCATGATCTTTCTTTTTTCAATTTATTTCACTGAATTATGCTTCTCAAATCATATCTCCCTAGTCACTTCCATTACCGCTAATACTGCTACAACCTCAACTATTATGCATTGAACTGTGTATGCTAATGTGGTATGGCAACTTGGACTGATGTATGTACGCAGGAAGTTCTAGAGTTCTGCTGACTGACTGGCTGACCTTTCCAAAGCTTTCAACTCGAACAACACTGGTCGAGCTAGAGCTTATGACGAACTGTCATCAGAATTCTTTGCTTCAAGTGATGTCCACTTTCCCCATTCTTTAATTTTGTCATAGACCTGCTTCTAGATATAACATTGTCTTCGTCTGCATCTTCATGAGTGGTCCTTCTACCAGGAGATTCGCTTGTCGACTTAGAATTCACCGATGACATAGTTCTATTTGATGAAAACGCTGACAAAATGCAGTCTTATGACGACCTCACTTACGGCATTGACGAGATATCCGTTTGCTGTCCAAAGGACGAGTGTACTGCGCAGCATTTCACTCCGTCCTACTTAATGGTTGCGAAACACGGCCCGTCAGAGTAAAAGTTATTCGTAGGTTACTGGTTTTCGATCATAGGTGTCTTCATAGCATTGCTCGTGTACCGTAAGACAACCGAGTAAGCAATGCTATTATTAGGACACGAGTACTAGGTAGGGATGGCAGATCAGTGGATAAAGTAATGAAACTTCACCAGTTGAGGTGGTTGAAACATGTGTTACGTATGCTTAACCACCGACTGCCTCGTCAAGCTATGTTTTACGATATATGAATAGGTTGGAAGAAAACTAGGGTTGGCCAGACCAAAACATGGCAGAAATCCATGTTGTCACTGACTAGTGGACTGAGTCATGCTGGTAGATGTAGGCTACCTGGTTGGGGTCCGCGAGACGAAAGTCACCAATGGTTAGAAACCTTGAACGACATGGCTCAAAATCGTTTGCAATGGCGCAGGTGCATACGTTCTTTGTGTTCTCTCAGGTCCTAACCTTCTGAATTCCTCATCAAGTTTGTCTTTTTTTTAAAGTTTATTTCACTAGATTCTACTTCTTGATTAATATCGTCGAACCCTAAAATTTCTGATTACTGCTAATACTTCTATTACTTTTGATTCTATGGGATTTGAATCGACATTTGCGTCTCTGTGCTGATGTGGTATGGCAACTTCAGCTTATGTACGTACGTACGAAGTTCTATGTTGTTGACTGACTGACCATAGTGATGACAGGTAATTTTAGGTTAGCGAAGTTAGTAGAATGCTATTATCTCACTCAAGTAAGCACGAAACCTGTTTGTGTTTGTAGTACACAAGGTCTGCTATACTTGTCTTCGAAACTTTTTAATATGTGAGATCGGAATTTATCACCAAGAGAAATCTGCTACCTTATAGCGGTTTTATTACATAAATGAATTTTACCTCTGGTATTTGGCAGGGAAGTACAGTATGTACTTTTCATGAGTTTTTATTTTTTATCCGCCCTTATGCAATTAGCATTGTGGAAGAAAACGTTTTAAGAAAATCTTTTCGTCTTTCTACTCTTTCGGCAGTTGGATCTCACAAATACCTAGTGATAATCTCAAATATTGTAGCTTATAACCTGTCAGTTACTGTTATACTCATCTTCAGTCGAAATTTCTCATATGATAGAAAATCAGTGGACTTTCACGGTTGTCAAGTTAGATGACGTAACTATTTCAGGGGGTCTTACTAAGTCGGTTTGTTTTGATATTTTTGTCTTTTTAAAGAATAGTTTGTTTCTAAATGTAATGCATCTAACAAAACCCTTTTTTTAGGCCTTATTTAGTCAGGACGTAGCTTGGATGGATGAACACGCCATTGGAAGCCTGATAGATAAATTAACTGAACACACAACTAACATACATCTTGGTATTGGAGAGAAATTAAACGAATTTATTCAAAATATTTCTAGTTTCTTTTTTGGCTTCGCTATCGCGTTCGCATGTGGTTGGAAGCTTAGTTTGGTTGCTTGTTCATCACTGCCATTAGTACTTATTGGTTTTTCTTTATTCGGTACCACTGTGAGACGCTTCACTCGCATGGAGCAGGATGCCTACTCAAAGTCTAGTGCAATTGCAGAGGAGGTTTTGAGCGCTATCAGGACAGTAATTTCTTTTTCTGGAGAGAGGAAAGAAGCATTTCGTTACAGCAGTAATCTGGATAAGGCTGCAGCTTGTGGTGTAAAACAAGCAGGTTGGCTTGGATTCGGTAAGATTGATTTTTCTCATTACTTTATAATCCGATTATACGATGTTTCTTTATACAAAATGAAGTCGTCATTTGTCTGGATATTTCAAAATAACCCATGTCTCTTTCTGATAATTTTGATTTTCGATTATATCTCTGCAGAAACGTAAACGAGGCTCCCAGGCTAAACATCGCTGTAACTCCTAGTCTAAGTTACCGAGATTCCTTGCAGATGTAACTTCAATCCTTTTCATATATTCTACCTCAAACTATTATGAAAGTATTTGTTGGAGGTGGAATAAACGTTTTCCTAAATCCTTATCTTGTTTGCTACTTACTCATTCAGATTTTTCGTTTAACACCCCGTAACTATTAATGCTCGCATATTTTATTATTCTACTTGGATTTAGAATTTGGATTACTTTTTTTAGCTGGCGGCTTTGTTGGAATGTCAATATATACTTCTACAGCATTAGTATTTTGGTATGGAGTGACATTAGTTCGACAAGGTGAATACGATCCAGGATCTGTGATACTAGTAAGTTGAAATCAGCTTGATTCGTCTTACCATTTCAAAATGGTCTTTAAACCCCAACCGATTATTATATAATTTCATTATGTTACTAAAAGAGACCAAATATCTGGGGAAGTGCTTACAAAGATTTGTTAGAATAGAGGATAATCAAACATTATGTCGATTTAATATATATATGTATATATATTACTTACGCCTGTTATCCCTAATGGAGCATAGGCCGCCCACCAGTTTCCTCCAACCAACTCTGACCTGGGCTTCCCTCTCCAGTTCTGTCCAATGTTTGTTCATTCCTCTCATATCTTCCTCTATTTCTTAGCGTAATGTGTTCCTTGGCCTTCCTCTTTTCCTTTTGCCTTGAGGATTCCAAGTGAGGGCTTGTCTCGTGACGCAGTTAGGTGCTTTTCGTAGTGTGTGTCCTATCCACTTCCACTGCTTCTTCCTGATTTCCTCCTCCACTGGAATCTGGTTTGTTCTCTCCCACAGTACGTTGTTGCTGATGGTGTCTGGATAACGAATCCGAAGTATTTTGCGTAGACAACTGTTAATAAACACTTGTATCTTCTGGATGATGCCTTTCGTGGTTCTCCAAGTTTCCGCTCCATACAGTAGAACTGTCTTGACATTTGTATTGAAAACCCTGATTTTGGTTTTGGTTGAAAGTTGTTTGGAGTTCCAGATATTTTTCAACTGTAGAAATGCAGCCCTTGCTTTGCCAATCCGTGCCCTCACATCTGCATCGGATCCACCTTGGTTGTCGATGATGCTGCCCAGATATGTAAAGGTGTTAACGTCCTCCAAGGCATCTCCATGAAGAGTGATTTGGTTGGTGCATGTTGTGTTGCTTCGGAGAATTTTGCTTTTTCCTTTATGTATGTTGAGACCTACTGCTGCAGAGGCTGCTGCTACATTGGTCATCTTCTCTTGCATTTGTTGTTGCGTGTGAGATAGAAGAGCCAGGTCATCTGCGAAGTTCAGATCGTCCAGCTGCGTCCTAACTGTCCAGTTGATACCGTGCTTCCCTCCAGATGTTGACGTCTTCATAATCCAGTCGATCACCAGGAGAAAGAGAAAGGGTGAGAGTAAGCAACCTTGCCTGACACCGGTCTTCACCTCGAAAGAGTCTGTTAGCTGTCCTCCGTGTACGATTTTGCAGTTGAATCCGTCATAAGATTTCCGTATGATGTTAACAATCTTCTCAGGCACGCCGTAGCGTCGGAGAAGCCTCCACAGTGTTTTCTTATCCACGCTGTCAAATGCTTTCTCGTAGTCGATGAAGTTGATGTAGAGTGGTGAGTTCCATTCAATTTATTGTTCCACAATGATACGTAAATTTGCAATTTGGTCAGTACACGATCGATCCTTACGATATCCAGCCTGTTGATCTAGAAGTTGTGTGCCTACGAAGTCCTTCATTCTGTTTAACAATACCCTGTTGAAGACTTTACCTGGTACTGACAGAAGAGTGATGCCTCTGTAGTTCTCACACTTGCTGAGATCTCCTTTCTTTGGTATTTTGGTCAGGTATCCTTCTTTCCAATCTGATGGTACTTGTTCCTCATCCCAAATCTTTTTGAAGAGGATGTGAAATATTTTCGCAGTTGCTTCTGCATCTGCTTTCATTGCCTCTGCTGGAATGTTGTCTGGTCCTGCTGCTTTGTCGCTCTTGATTTGTCTGATGGCCATACTGATCTCCTCAATCGAAGGTGCGCCAATATTATTTGGGAGGTCCGTGGATGCTGCTTCGATGTTGGGTGTGTTCAGTGGAGCTGGTCGATTCAATAGTTCCTGAAAGTGCTCTACCCACCTATTTCGCTGTTCTTCAGTGTTGCTGATTGCTTTGCCTTACTTGCTTTTCACTGGTCGTTCTGGTTTACGTTAGTTTCCGGCGAGCTTCTTCGTTGTTTCGTACAATTGTCTCAAGTTTCTGTCTCTTACAGCCTTTTCCGCCGTCACTGCTAGATCTTCCACATATTTTCGTTTGTCAGCTCTGATGCTCTTCTTCACTTGCCTGTTTGCTTCTGTGTATGCAGCTTGTGCGGTAACTTTCTCTGCTCTTGTTCGGCTGACATTGATTGCTGCCTTCTTGTTCCTCCTTTCTTTAATTTTTTCAAGAGTACCAACAGAGATCCATTCCTTGTGATGGTACTTCTTGTGATCCAGAACTTAGTGAAATGTTGAAGTGATTGCCTCCTTAATCCCTTTCCAATTGTACTCCAATGTTGCTTCCTCTCCATTGAGTAGATCCTGAAAGGCCTGGAACCTATTGATGAGGGCTATCCTGAATTCGTTGAGCTTTACAGTATCCCGAAGAAAGGCCGTATTAAACTTATGTGATGTTGTCTGCCCCATTTTCCAGTGCTTCTGTAGTTTCAGTTTCATTTTGGCGACCAGCAAGTGGTGATCTGATGCTATATCAGCTCCTCTCTTGGTTCTCACATCCTCCATGGTCCTTCTGAACGTTTTGTTGATACAGATACGGTTAATTTGGTTTTGAGTAGTGTGGTCTGGTGAAATCCATGCGGCTTCGTGTATGCGTTTGTGCGGGAATATTGTGCCACCGATGACCAGTTTGTTGAAGGCACATAGGTTTGCAAATCTCTCACCGTTTTCGTTCCTTTCTCCCAGTCCATGTCGTCCCATGATGTGTATATATCCAGTGTTGTCCATTCCATCCTTGGCATTCAGGTCTTCCATAAGAATCGTCAAATCCTTTGGTGAACATTTCTCGACGATTGACTGCAGCCTTTCGTAGAATTGATCTTTAACGTCGTCATTGTAGTCATTGGTAGGTGCATAACATTGGATGACGTTCATTGTAATGTCCTCTTTCTTTGTTTTGAAGGATGCTTTAATGATCCTCGGTCCATGAGATTCCCATCCTGTCAGTGCCTTTTGTGCATGTTTGGACAGCATCAGTGCAACTCCTTGTGTATGTGAAGCATTTTCCTCTTCATGACCAGAGTATAACAGCAGTTCCCCTGAAGCTAGTCTCAGTTGTCCTACCTGTGTCCAACGCGTTTCACTGATGCCGAGCACCTCGAGGTTGTATCTTTTCATTTCTGCTGCAACTTGAAATAGTCTTCCAGTCTCCCACAATGTACGAACGTTCAATGTACCTAAAAAAATGGTTGCTCTGGTTGTCAGAAGAGGCATCGGTCCCGTGACTTCCGAGGGGACTCGGCTTTCATCACGCGACGTCATGATTCTTCTTCCAACTCCCATGGCAGAGTTAAAATGGTCTTAATTAGTTTTTCTGGTTAGCGTTTTTTCGGCAAGTTAGTTTTTGACGGAATGAGGTCGCCAACCCCATGTCCAACCCTCCTTTACCCGGGCTTGGGACCGGCAGTAGCCCCTAAGGTTCTAGTGACGGAGTTATATATACATGTATATAATGTATATTCGTTTCGAACTTAACCTTATCATTAAATTGATGGATTGGCAGTTTTAAGCTAAGTTTTTAAGTAGATCATGAATTTGAATCCATCGTCACTTTTTTTACACTTCTACCTGCACGACTGTGTAATAATACCTTAGTGATTTAGCTACTCAACTTTCGCTGTAGGTTTCCCCGCCGAACATCACTCGACCCTACTTTACTATGGATACTCGAGTAGAAGTATCACAGGGTCTCACACTAAATACGTGGATCAAATTCGGATAAATAAACCTGCATTTAGATGTTAAATCACTCCTATCGTAGATTTTTGACATTAGTATGTTTGATATTGCTTGCGTTCGTAAAAATATGAATCTGGTCCTATTTGTTATTCATTTCACAACTATTTTTTGGCGACAATTTTTTCTTTTTCACAAGTAAAACCACTTGGAGCTCAATAATGATGAGAAAGTACTTAATACTGCATTGATTCGTACCAATCGCCATTAATGTTTTATCCTTAAATACTTGAATTGATGAACCAAAAATGTTGAACGCCTAAATAACAAGTTGTCACCAAATAATAGATTCAATTATGCATTAGTTTGTATATGAAAACATTCATGTGCTATCGTCTGATTTTCAAAATTTTGTTTATGTGATAAAAATTAATTTCATCAAACACTATCGATCATTTTAAAGTGTTTCGATACTTCATTTCGAGTAACGGCTTTTGTCCTCACCGAAAAGGTTTAATTCTAGGGGTAAATAATCGGCTCCGCTTGAATAGTATTTTGTTAGTACTTATTTCCTTTAGCAGTATTTTCAGGACTTAATAAATGGCGAAATTAATGAGAAATCCTAGGATTGACCTACCATGTCTAATCCCACTACTGTGTTGGAACAATAACAACAAGGGAGTTATATACCCTAATCGTACACAGTATGCTTTTGTACAGAACTTCTCAGATGTTAGAATACTTCCTTAACAGATAATCCTAGAACAGTCCTGTTCAATATCATAAAAGCAGCCCTGATATCAAGAAACACAACAATTATTTGACTACATTGTGTGTGATAGTATTCCAGCATTTGATGATGCATCAGAGCGCGGAAATTTCATCCGCAGTTCGGAAGAAAAGTCCGTCTATTGAAGTTCCTTCCACTTTGTTGAGTGGATCATTAGTCACTGAACAAGAAGCACAACATAATCTGACATCAACAATGAAACTTTAAACTGGCCAAACTGGTCATTAGATTACTTCACTTACTGTGGGCAATGCTTTTGAACATTACTTGTAGACATACCAATAACTTCACATATTTTTTCACTGGCACCGAGCTTCTCGCTATTAAGTAGAATGTTTTACATGTACCGAGTGTAACTTCTGCTCTCAACTTTTTATAACTCTGTAACCACCAGGTTTCATGGTCCTCCTTTAAGCTTCATGAGATGTTATACACATCGATTTATTCGCAGTTCACCGTAATAGGCGGATGACTAAAAAATCTATAAAAAGCTTAAATAAACTATATCTGTAGATAAGATGTTTCGCAAAGTCATATGCTGCTTTACTCACTATTTTCATGGCATCTTGTAACTACAGTCAGTGCCTATCTATACTTTCTGGTTATCTGACAACTAGTCTTGAACCTCAGTTAGTCCAGTATTTAGATGTAGTTGACTTACCTAGATCATTTTTCCAAAATCGACGAGCCTGTTATCCGCCAAGATCCATAATGGGTTCTGGGCATATTAAATCATTAGAATTTAGATGTTTGCTTCAAAAACAACAGTAGTCTTGTACGCATATAAACCATCGGCATCTGATTGGAATATACTCAATCCGAGTCCAGAACAACAAATGGCATGTTGCTGAAGATTATGTCTAAAACTAATACTGGTGAGAACTAGGTTTTAATTTACATAAAGCACCAGAAGACCTTCCCCATTATCCGACTTTCAAGTAGCGAGTCCCTGTTAGCCACCTAAATTATCAACCTGATCACTTACATTCCCAGCTAGCGTCCCAATAACTGTCAATCTAACCTTGTCACACGTGGTCTCCTAATATCCGCATCAGATGTCACTCTGAAACACGTTTGTTTGTAGTTTATTTATCTACAGTTTCTACATTTCTGACTTAGCATATTCCATTTGAATGAATAGTTGATACATTTTAATGCTTGTTTTCTCTAGTACTATATCTGTTGCATTCTCTGAAAAGAAGAGAAGGGAATATAAAAGCTTAAAACTGTACCCCTAACAAAATTCTAATTTCAAATTTTAGGTTTTTCTTAATGTTATAATTGGAAGTTTGTTTTTGGGAAGTGCCTTGCCAAATTTTCGATACTTTCATGTGGCCAAAGTATCAGCGCAAGATATATTTGATATTATTAAACGTGTAAGTGAAACATTAATGTCATTTGTAACAATAATGCTAATATCTAGCAATAATAACTGCTATTATTATTTCATAACTAATACAAAGTTGAAACTACAAAACTTTTAAAATCTTATTTGAACTCATTGTTTCACTTTTTATGGTTCCGTTCTCTTCTGATTTTGTCAAGTATTTCATTCCTGTCGTTATTATCCTAAAACTTGGAATAACTGTATTGTTAAAATATATTGACCTCATATAGAGTAATTCAACCGATTTTCAAGTTTCGGTTAACAATCATCAGATATTTAAGTTATGTAGCCGATTATTTATCGACTAAATTATTCGTTTTGTTAATCACTTAATCACATAGGTTCATACGTCTCCTTACCAATTTTCTTCTTAAGCAACTAGATAATTACACTAGTTTTTATTGAGAAATGTCGACCCAAGGCGCTACATGAGACTATCCAGTTGATGTTCATCATCACTAGTTGTCTAAAGATAACGTAATTATATCGTTGATTATTTTTGAAGATATTTTCAAATACGATAAGATATATCGGATTTTTAAACTTCAGTATTTACTTATTATAACATCTTGAAAATGATTTTTCTGCTTGGGACCATCCAAATCTTATACATGCTACAACCAAAACAACCAGCTCAGAGAACGAAACACCACCACAATCATCCACCTGAGCTACAAGTTTTCTCCACCATCTCAAAATACATGCTACTCATTATCTACTTATGATTAAAACTAGATTCCCTTAAAAAAAACAATCGTTATATGATTTGTGAAACAAGGAAAACTAAAGTTATATTTATTTGGCTTTTTACACCATAAAGAATATCTGCGTGCTTTAAGAAAGCATCTGAATGAAATCGGTTAACGTTTGGCTTAAAATAATCGCGGACAATTAGTAACATTCCTTGCATGTTTATTTAGAGGAAATAAAGACAGTTCTACGAAGAGGATTCTCGTATCAGTGATATCTACCGAAGCTGTGCATTCCTATTTGTGGTGATTTAACAGATATAATAGTACAACAAATGATCTATTGAGTGAATACATCACGAAGTATGCAGAAATATCAGTTGTCGCACTATATTAATAATTGATTGTAGTCAGAAATATCTACAATTAGATTTCGACTCAGCGATCTAGTAGTTCGGCCCCCACCACAAACCTGAAGACTATTGGCTTCATTGGTAGAGAATTCTTGGTTACACACTTGTGACGAGGATGAAATAAGGATGAAATAACTGCCTAGTAGTCGTATGCACTCCTTCATATTGTCTACCCCTATTCTTTTCTACCCCTCTAATACTATTACTGCTTTTAATAGTCAGCGACGTATCTCGATAATTTCATTTCGCTGTGCTGATAAGCCGTGACAACTTTGACCGAGGCACAAATATTCCAGGTTCTACGTTTCTTATAACTAACCGACTGATCCAGGTGTCTGTTGTTTTCAATGGTAATACTGTTGAAATCAGTGTGTAATGAATATCACCTGTAAATCCGTTGACTAAACATCCAGGGTTCATTTAATTGTATCATTTTGAGCTTACTATTGGGAAATCACTTGCATATTTAAAAAATGGTAATTGATTGTATCTACTTAATTTACGCCTTAAAATGGACCAAGTATGAACTTTTTCTTGTGATTTGTAACTTAATATCATAAGTTTATATTGTTTTTTTACAGAAACCTTTAGTGGATAAGACAACGTCGAACGAAAAACTGGATGATTTTAGTGGTAAAATAACATTTAACAAAGTTTCATTTGCATATCCATCACGTCGCGAGAAAGTGGTGAGTGTTCTATTCTTCATTGTTTGTTATGGACTGTCCGTTATCTCACATAGAATAAATGGAATGTGATTAACACTGGAATCCAGGATGCTCGTCTTGTCGTACTTGGGAGTTGTCATCTGGATGTACATGCATCCTGGGGCGGACATCAACTGGGACACGGGTACACGCAACTGACAAGTTCCGAGTTAAACGAAACGTATGTCCTAGACTCCACTGCTAGTCACATTCCATCTGTTCTATTAAAACCTGTATGATAATAGCTATATTAAGGTTATCTTCACCGAATGCACATATGCCTAATAAGACTGATCAGATTTTAGTCAGTATACTACTACGTGATAATCTAAACCAATACAAATGAAATTGGTGTCTTTTTAGCACAAACCTACAGTTAAACTGTGCAGTTTATTATGTGGTATAATTCGTCTTCTCTTTACTAGATAAAGTTCACTCAAGATGTTTGAAGATAGATTATTCATTATCGTCTAGCTAAGTTATTTATATATTCAGTGCTTATTATTTTAAAACTGAATTACTTATCATCAAAATCCAATATCTTAAGCACTTAAAATAAAAGTTAACTGAATGCTTACAAATGATGTCGGATTGTAACCGTATCTATTCACAAACCACTTAAAATTAAAATGACGAAAATTGCCTTTTGACGCCTCTCGAATGATATTGCGCCACCTGTAAGTCGCGAAGGTTTCGAGTCCCATCCTAAGTTGCAGTTGCTTAGCGATGCTTGGTTCTGAAGCTGATCCTCTGAAGCAAGACAGAGCAGCAGGACCCGATAGATTGACTCCCGAGATATTTAAGGATGGTGGTCCAGGTTTAGCAACTAGGTTGACCGAGATCTTAGGTAGAATTCGGGAACTGGACGTAATCCCATCCGACTGGTCTCAATCACTGATTGTCCCAGTCTATAAGAAAGGACAAAAGTCTTCTTGTGACAATCACAGGGGAATAAGTCTAACTAATATAGGTTCTAAATTGTTAGCCTCGATTATACTTAGACGCCTAACTAGAGTTCGTGAAAAGCAGACTAGAGAAAACCAGGCTTGTTTTCGACCTGCACGTGGTTGTATAGACCACATCTTCACACTACGACAGATCCTGGAGCACAGACACACATTTAGGCGTCCTACAATAGTTGTCTTCCTGGACCTGAAAGCGGCATTTGACTCAGTGGATCATGAGGTTCTGTGGCAGTGTCTGTCATTGAAAATTGTACCAAAGAAGTACATTAACCTTATATAAGCCCTCTACTCAAACACCACTGGTCGAGTGAGAGCTTAAGGCAAATTGTCATCAGAATTCAATGCTTCAAGTGGTGTTCTTCAGGGATATCCACTTTCTTCATTCTTGTTTAACTTTGTCTTAGATATGCCTTTAGAGTTAACATTATCGTTGTTTGACTTCTCAGTAGACCTACCAGAAGATTCATAGTCCATAGTTCTATCTGGTGAAGACGCTGACAAAATGCAGAGTCTTCTGACTACCCTAAGCAACAATGCAAGCATGTTAGAGATGCGGTTCTCACTCTCAAAACGCAAAATGTTTCTTCAGGAAGGGCTTGCGACTTTACCGGAACTAGTGATAGGGAGTGAAGTAGTCGAACGTGTAGGCCGCTTCACTTATCTGGGGAGTCTCGTCAGTGCTGATGGCCTGGTGACTGACGAAATCTCAGCTCGGATACAGAAGGCTCGATTGGCTTTTGCCAACCTATGTCACTTATGGCGCAGGCGAGATATCCGCTTGTTTACCAAAGGACGAGTGTATTGTTCAGCATTTCGCTCCGTCCTACTGTACGGATGCGAGACTTGGCCTTTAAGAGTAGAGGACTTGCGTTAGTTACTAGTCTTCGACCATCGATCTCTCCGAAGCATTGCTCGTGTATCATGGAACAACCGTATAAGCAATGCTGTCGTTAGGAAACGATTACTAGGTAAGGACGGCAAATCAATAGATGAAGTAGTGAAACTTCAGTTGAGGTGGTTGGGACATGTGTTACGTATGGCTAACCACCGACTGCCGCGACAAGCTATGTTTTGCGATATATGAATAGGTTGGAAGAAAGCTAGGGGCGGCCAGACCAAAAGATGGCACAATTGCATGAAGTCACTGACAAGTGGACTGAGTCATGCTGGTAGATGTAGGCTACCTGGTTGGGGTCCGCGAGACGAAAGTCATCGATGGTTAGAGACCTTGAACGACATGGCTCAGAATCGTTTGCAATGGCGCAGGTGCATCTACTCTTTGTGTTCTCTGAAATTCTAAGCTTCTGCATTATTCGTAATCTCTACCTTTCTCCTTCTATATTTGTCTTACTGAATTATACTTTTCAAATCATATCGTCGCTGCCTAATCTTCTCCATTACTGCTTATACTTCTACTATCGCTATCACTGTTGGATTTGAACTGACAGTTGCGTCTCTGTGCTGATGTGGTATGGCGTTGTTTGTGTCTGTCTGCATACAGGATCCGGGTACAGTGAGTAAACTGAATTTGCCTCGTCCAAATAAAGAATCAACTTGGTTTACGCTACGTGTATCTGAAGGCCCCGCTGCTGCTTCTCGTGGCCTCACTGATGTACGTATAGCATTGCGTCCTTGAATAGAACTGGCTGTCTTAGACTGAATCCCATTACATAGTCGTTTGTGCGCTTTCCGACTAAATGCAACATTAAGGACTCGCAAAGATAGGGGCACTCGCCGTTTCCTCTTCGCCGTGTCTACCTACTCTCCCACTGACTGCAGTTCAGACGAGGTAAAATATGAGTATTGAAAAAAGCTTTCGGAACTCCTAAACGTTAGGCTTTCTGATGTAGTAATAGTGGCTGGTGACTTCAGTGCTCAGGTAGGTAGACTCAATGAAAAGGAAAGACACCTGGGTGGATGTTATGGTGTCATGTCTCAAAGAACAAATAATGGCGACCGTATGGTGAAGCTACGATCAGATAACCGCCTATTTTTTAGAAATCTGGAGCACATGTTTAGATTCAGACTATGCTTTAGTGCGAGCGTGTATTTGTTTACAGCTTGCTTGACGTAGGAAAAACACCGCAAGCAAACCTCTCAGGGTTCTACCTAATAGCATAGCTAAGAATATATTTCAGGAGCAACTGGAAAAACAGTTAGGCGGACATGTTGGTGATTCTCATCCTGAGGCCGTTTGGAATGATATCCAAAAAGCTGTGGAAACAGCAGTGATATCTAATCTATTCCCACCTGGCTCTGAACATGATGAAGAGCGAAGTCAGCTTAATCGCAGGCTGATAAAAAGCCTACGCAATGATCGCGAACGGTGTTGGGTAGCCAAAGTAAGAGCTATGGAAAAGGCAGCGGCGATAGGTAACAGTGGACAGTTGTCCCGACTTATCAAGGAAATCGGTATTAGAAATCCGACTATTAACAAGACTATCTCGGAAATGGACGGTCTTATGATTCATTCTCAACCCAGGATATTGGATCGATGGGAAGAACACTTCAGGCTTCAGTTCAACTGGCCTTCAGCCACACTTCGAATGCCCACGATCTCCAGTCATCCTGAATGTCAAATTGATATAAGTCCTCCGAGTCTCTATGAAGTTGAGAAAGCTATAGGAAATCTTAAGTAGAGAGCAGAAGATCCCGACAAGCGTTAGGAATTCTGAAGCGAGGGCGAGCTGCAGGTCCTGACAGACTGACCCCTGAGATTTTTAAGGTTGTTGGTCCAGTTTCAGCAGTAGATTGACTGAGATCTTTGGTGGAATTCGGGAACTGAATGAAATCCCATCTGACTGGTCTTAACCACTGATTGTCCTGGTCTACAAGAATGGACGAAAGTCCTCTTGTGACAATCACAGAGGAATCAGTTTATCTAATAGTGTCTAAAATGTTTCCCTCGATAATACTTGGACGCATGTTTGCTAAATTTCAGTAAAAAACAAAAGCGCACTGATATCGGTCAAACAAAGGATCATCATAAGTTCTACGTTTGCGCCTCATAAACGCAACTCCTGTGGCAAGTATACTTTCATGTTCACAGTTTTGTAATGGGCTAGAAATATACTCGTCTGGCGAAACGTTGGATAGGTAAAGTTCGGAGTACCATTGAAATTTACGTCCCTGAATCACCAAGCTATCGCTCGAATGCATTTTATTTTAACACTTGACGGCTGCATTTTTTTCAAGCATTCAATATGATATCATATATTTGATAGATGTCTTTTCCTTTAAAAACCATCTTTAAAGATACTGAACGAATTTAGTTTAACTATACAGTCAAACGAAACAACTGCTTTCGTTGGTCCCAGTGGATGTGGAAAGACTACAATTACACAGCTGATCGAACGATTTTACGATCCGGATAATGGTCAGGTATAATTTGAGAAGGCTTTTTACGTAACGTTTTATGATTTCATTGTTCGACTGTCATTAGTTAATTTTCTATTTTAGAAGTTAGCGCTTATTTGGAAATGAAAAATATCTTCATCATGTGAACCTATTGAACAGAACTTCCACAGTAGCTCTATAAACAAACATTATTTTATTGATCTCTTCCTCAGTTAGTATAGCAGCTATCGGTAGCTATAAACTTGGTCAATACATTTGTCAAATAGGGAAATCTAAGTGCATCATGATTTTCGTCTAAACAAGTTTTTCGATTTTCTGAAATAGTTTAGAAATGTTTCATCCTCTAAAGTGAATGATTTAATCCCCTAAAGAATAAACCATCACCATATATATATATATATATATATATATATATATATATATATATATATATTCAAGTTTTTCTGTGAAAATGTGATTTCATGCCTTTCCCATTGAATGATTTGATTTTATTTTCTAATTTTGATCTTTCTGACTTTTCATGTATCAATGTGATATTTCGCAACAGTTCCCTTAGCAACATGTATGCATTTTTAGAATTTCAGTTAGCCTATCTATGGCCTTGTTTACGCAATAACGTTGTCAAGTCAGAATATACTCAGGACTATATAAAATGAAAGATATGTCTACCACTGAACAGTAATGATGATCAATGTAGCATTGTTCATTGATTGAGACCTAAGTCGGAAGTTTGCATGAGAGTATACCCTTCAATGTGTAACTTGGTCAATCGTTTTCCTAGTTCTGGACTTAATCTACTGTACTTCAATTTTTCATGATGAATAATCACTCGTTCTCATTACTTAATAATACTGTCGAGTTTCAATGATGATCAAGTTGCCGATGTGAACACTAAAGCGATTGAGTACTTTACCTGGCTGATATGTCGAGCAATGATTTACGAAAGGCATGAAACCGTTTTCTCCCTATCGTCCATACCATGTAATTACATCCCGAAAAAGATTAATTATTATATAACTTAGTCAATTCGTCATATGATGTGGTAGATATATGATCACACACTAATGGATATCAAACACTACTCAGATCAACTTGCGCAAATTTAACTGTGAATAAACCATATAAAAAGTAGTGCATTTATACATTATTTCGATTAATTCCCGGTGTCGAATTAATTCGTATCACTAATCTCTGTGTTCTCATTACGTGTTGTCGGACTTAAGGTTCCAATACAAACCACAAACCGGGTAAGCATTCCTGTGAACAGAACACCAGCTTTAACATGATCAATGAGCTTTTTTACTTTAATCTTTTCTTGATGATTAAAGTGCGATGTTCGTATGAACATTTTAGCTCAAGAATAACATCGATCTAGGTTATTTTTTAGTAACTAGTTTCTCCAAATCAATAGGTTAATAATCCAAATAATAAAATAAACAGGACCAGCATGTTAATCACTAAATAATTAACTGATAGTACTATGGCAGCAGTAACTTTAATGTAAAACTTGAAGGCTAATGAATCTGTACCCTGATAAGAACTATAAGAAAACTCTGTCAATACATTTGTTCAACAGTATAAACACTTCGTTTTATAAAAATCCACCAATTTTCTATCATTTAAATCATCATACATCAATAATTTCTATGTTTATTTTCAATTTAAAAAAAAAGATACTTTTCGATGATACAGATTTGCGTTCATTGAATTTGAATTGGATTCGTTCCAACATAGGTATTGTTCAACAAGATCCAGTTTTATTCACAGGAACAATATCAGAAAATATTCGAATGGGTTATTTAAAAGATAATTTATCTAATAATGATAATGATGATGACAATATTATAGAAGCAGCGAAATTAGCTAATGCTCATGAATTTATTACAAAATTGCCAGAGGTAAAATTATTACAATTTTATTTTGTAGCCTAATTTATTTTTATTATATTGAAAAGACTATCCGATCTTAGTCAGGCCATCATTGAAAAACTGAAAACACTGGATGGGATTTCTCATAAATGCATATCCACGACTCCGTGACCAAGACTCGAAACCAGGACCTTCGATCTCGCGCGCGATAGTAGTCTAGCTGAGATCAGTTCATGATTTCAGCTGTCAAAATTATACAGTCTCTACAAGTCTCGTTTACTAATATTAGAAATTCGCCAACTTGATTTATCCAGTGCTCACTAATTGACGGATAGAACAAAGATATGCAGTCTAGTTTATTGACTCTGTTTTTATTAGTTATAAGAAGAGCTTAGGCCACCTAGTTTCATTTTGCTAGTACATGTTAATTTTCAAAAAAGATAACCGCGACCTTTTCTGTTATCTAATCGGCTGTTACCACTCTTAGTTAGCTTGCCTTATTTGCTCGGTCATTGTTTACTACTACCTGAATTGAGTTGTTCCATTTCTGAATATAAAGCTGTTGTAAAAATCCTGTTTTCTTTATTCCATAGTATTGGACTATTAACGTTAAAGTGTTATTGCATTAGATGTCCAGTCTATTTGAGTGCTTGAGATCTAGTGGTTGGAGTAGGAACGCTTGAATCTGTCGCTCCATGATACGTTCAGCATAATATTAGTATCATGCAAATTGAAAATGTATGTTATGTGATAATCTGTTAATCCTCTCAAACAATGTAGCATAATCCTATTTAAACAATATCCGTTTTTTACTTTTTAGGGCTACAATACAATGATATCTCGTACAAACGCTCAATTGTCTGTTGGTCAAAAACAGCGTATATCTATTGCTCGTGCCCTCATTCGCAAACCAAAAATCCTTATTTTCGATGAAGCCACCTCAGCGTTAGACAATCATTCAGAAAGAATGATTCAATGTGCCTTAGAAAATATAAAGATTAATCGAACTGTGATTATAATTGCTCATCGATTGTCGACTGTTCAAAATGCAAATAAGATTGTTGTTTTAGATAATGGTTGTATTAAGGAGATTGGTACTCATGCAGAATTATCCTCTACTTCGGGATTTTATTCAGCAATGTTAAAACTTGAGGTAAGCTAATTTGTATTTGATATGGTCTGGTTTATTGTGCTATTAGAAACTATCTCTTACTCTTTTTGTCAATATAATTTGTTCGAGCATGAATGGTCCATAAGAATTGTATGATTTGACTGTTTTCGACGCAAAATCACCACTGGACGACCATCGAAAACTATGGGGCACAAAAAAGCCGTTTTATTATAATATATGACTTTTCACTAGCGATCATCCAAGACCCTACAGGCTCTTGTATCCAGTATTTCCAGGTCTTACGGTGAGCGCCCACCTCTAAACAACTGCGCTGTTACCTAGTAGTTAATATCTTCTCATGCCATTAATGAGCAAGTGAATCACACCAGACATGTTTGAACTAACCAATCTCCACAAACACCCAACGCTAGCAAAATCGTTAGCATACAAGTGATTAGTTTTGAAAGTTAATTCCTGGAGTTTTAATGAAAAGCCGTGACCAGTGGATTTTGACCTTGTCCTTTTTGATTCATGTACGCGCCAACAGCATTGAAAGATGGTCACACACAATATCACAATACGTTTTAATTGTCACGCCCGTATACCAAACTTTTTCTCTATGATTTCGTGGTTTGCAATGTTTTTATATCAAGTTGAGCAGAGTATTTTCGAAAAAAACCAGCATTCATATGAATGCTCTTAAATAAAATTGAAAGCGTATAAGACTAGGCCGGTTGACTGTAACCTCTGATAGATCTGGTCTTTATCGTCCTCATTGTTATTGTTAATGGGCGCATAGCACCTTTGTCTTGAACGAGGCTTTGATGATCTTGGGTTGCTTTGGTTGTCAGAACAGGCATCGATCTCGTAATTTCCGAAGAAACTCAGTTTTCACCATGATGCGTCATAACTTTTCCAAATGAAGAACTTCTGATTCCCACGGCAGAGTTTAAATGGTCTGAATTATTTTTTTCTGATTAGCGTTTTTTCACCAAGTTAGTTTTCAACAGGAAGGAGTCTCTAACCTCATACCTAACCCTTCTTTATCCGCTGGTATCTTGTTGATGGGAATTAGTAACTGAATTCTGCGTTTTGTACTCGATTCAGGCTACATGTTTTATGTGTGGGTTAGACTCCTTATTTGACTTTCTAAACTCGATAACAAGTAGAATGAACTCCGAATTCAAAATTCAATAACTGGAAACCGAGCACCTAAATCCGTTAAGTTGTAACTAAGTAGTACTTATATTCATAAAAAGTTAGTGTCCTTTATTGTTACACTCGTTTATAGGTATGCTTAAAACTATTACGGGTTCACTTTAGTCGAATAACGAGAACAAAACAATGAACCAGCGTCCAGGTAGGCTACTCTGATCTGTTGACCCAAATGTACTAGCAAGAAGTCTTGATATAGCGTAGGAAGTGTATTCTACAAACACCCAGCCAGCACACAATGAATCCAAGCACACAAATCCAGTTTATTTATATACCATAGAGACGTCCTTGGGAGAGTCACAAAATAGCACACCTCCTGGTGGGAAGTGTGATTCCAAGGTCAACTGATCTGCCCATGAAGTAAATCCAAAATGAAGACATTTATCAAGCGAGTTCTGGGATCTAACATCCACAACATTTTAGTGGTTATCAGAATGCTTATCAAACGGTCTCATCCAAGATATTCAGAATTCAATCAATTTTATATACTAATTTAAGCATATCTTCTTCTGAAAAAGTTATGAATATTTAGAAACCTTTCATTGTACTTATTTTAAATATAGTGATTTTGGTCAATTTACATCTGTACTGCTGTAATTCCAACCTGACTGGTAAAAATCATCTTCCGTTGAAATGGTCAGGCTTGATATCATTACAATTAAATAAAGCAAATAAATAGGTTGACTGAAGACCTAGCTATCTTATTGCTTACTATTCCTCGAACACTGTACAACGCTCAATTAGTTCCCGAAATCAGAACACGGAACGGGTAGTTAATTTTTTCCGAACAGACCAAATGGAATGCGAAGGAATCATAGTAGTAAAAGCGCTAGTTTATTTATTATTTTTACACAAAACTATTCTCGAGTCTTCTCCAGCTACCCGCTAGCACCGATTGGTTAATAATGCGCCAATTAACATGCTCCAAAATAATCCTGCATTGGATATCCTTTAAAGCAATACATATCCTGCTAACAAACAGTAAAAATTTCTAAATAATGACATAAATAATGGTTGAAATTAAACACTGTAACTCAAAAGTGACAAATATCACCTAAGAATAAAAAGTACAGAGTAATGCAGAGCTCAAGTTCTTGAAGAAAATGAAAAACAACTGCATCTGTTTTACTGTGACCAGTTTTGACCAATGTTAACTCCGGGCTTCATAACTAAAAACTGCATTTTGTCTAGATTACTTTCGTCTGGTTAATAAAACTTAGTGTTGTGACTAAAATGTAACTACTACATATATATATATATATATATAAACATGCTAAAAAGGTATTGTTCTAACCTATGAACAGAAATCATGTCACTTTTTATTCTCTTATTTCGATCAAATTATAGACACCTGAAAAAGTTTCTTCTTCAGTCAATGACAATACGACAGATTTGCAAACCGATAGCATAAATTTGTCAAACGATAATCAGCTACTTCTTGAAGGTCACACAAATAATGTAAAAAGTGTTGATAGTTGGATTAATAAGAATACCAATGAATATCAAGTTAACAAGGTAAATCATTACAGTTTTTATGTTTCAATCGAGTTAGTTAGTTTTATTGCAAATTGTTGTTTCGTAAAAGTAGTTATAAAACTTTAGACTGATATTGTTTTATTAACAAACAACACGAAGTATATTTAAGTAGTAGTTTTACACAAATACTACGGGTTGTTGTCTAAGCTAAATCATTAAATTTTTAAGATCGGTGTATAGTTCAGATAAATCGTATTTTGGCTACCATGTATGCTTCACGTAATTATCGTTTCAAGTAGTTTATCGAGATGTTATTTACGCATCGCAGTTTTACTTTGTATATGTAAATAAAGGGAATGACTAGGAGTTAAACACTACTTCTCGATCACCTTGTAACGAGTTAACGAATAATGTTCTGATGGGGTTGTTGAAGTATATTATTATTGCCTAATCCGTATATAATACACACCATGCTAATCAACAAAAGAATAAACTGTAACAAAATTTAAGGGAACTAGATCAATACATGATAATAGTTCATAAAGTCATAGATTGTTCGATCAATCTATGGTGAAAATCACAGACTGTTTATTTGTTGCCTGAGTATTAGAATTTTTCCACGGTTGACTCGAAATCTGTCACGTCAGTGCTAATTTATTCATTCTTTGTTTTTCTATAAATCTTGTGTTAGAATGTTGGATTTTCATACTCCAATTGTATCTACTCTTTTTTGAAGTATATTCCATCTGACTAAGTTTTACTACCATTGATATTACTTTTAATCTACTTGCTTCTAATTTTTTTTTTAAATTTCCTCTCGTGATAATGATACAAAATGTAGTGATTTGTATATCATTGCTACGCTCGATGTTATTTACGACTTGGTAACCAAGCCCCAGTAGAAATTTAAATGGAGGATAGTTATCTTAAAATATTTAGTTTGTTGAAATAATGTATGATGAAAAAACAAAGGTGATCAGAACTGTGATACGTTTCGAACGGTCTGATTGCACATCGACATTTCCAAAAAACAAATGATCAGCTAGATAAATTAAAAGGCTGGAAGAAATAAAGACTAATTATAAAGTATAAAATGTGTGGAAACAATGTGAAAACCCCGTTGTATGACAATTCAGTATTACTAGGGTAACTTTAGGATAGAGAAAAACTGTCTTTGATCTCACAAAGACTGTTTCACTTTTTGTATAACCATGGCCTCAATAAAACTTAGTATTCGTCCTTGAATACTTTTGCATAACAGTGCATTGGACGACATAATATCAATCATATAATCAGTCTTAATCAAATGTTTTGCGATAGAGGAGAATATATGTCTATCCTGTGATCTTGTTTAGGCAATAAATTTTTTTTGTTTTTGTGGCCATTTAGATGTGTTCAGCCACCTTTACTTATAGACCATGATTGCTCCTCCCCGTCGTATACAATGTGATGTTCAGCAATCGCTTACAGGTTGTTTTTTGGAAATATAGACATAGATCATAGACATATAGATCATGATGGGCTGAGGTTATGTAATTCAAAATCCATTTCAACATAAGACTGAGTTACTTCTGAATAGTAGAATAATACAGATCTGTTTTTTGGTGCCAAGTCTAGCAGGTCTAGTCATATTACCGCCTTTCAGTCGATTTATAATTCTCAATGAATAATGATTGTTCACCAGTGTCTCAGTTAACAGTCATGCGTTTCCCTCAATTGCATTACTAGTGCAATTATAATTGATCCTATTGAACAAACCCTTCATCAACCCACATTTGTGATGGGTTGTACAGTGACTACAATAACTAAGATATTGCCCTATCCTTTCTTTATATATTAAGTTTGCTGGGACCATCATCTCTTCTAGAAAGGAGAGTTGCTTATTCATCTCTTCTTCATGTATATGTTTATGTGATCAGTTTGTTCAAAATGTATTGCGCAAATATATCACATAGTTCTGATAACCCTTATCTCGTTTTATTATCCAAATCTATTATAGGGACTAATCGTCTTGAATAGTATGTTTAATTGTTTGGATTACTCCTATAAATTTAGTGGCTGTCTAAATTATTAGCTCAGAGAATAACAGGTTTGACGTTTAAAGCGATAGACACTAGGTTCTAGTCTTAACACTGGGACTCTAATAAGTCTCAAATAAAGCTAAACGCTCTGCCTGGATTCTATTGTTAGCTCTAATTTGCCTATTCTATGAATGGATAATCTTTTCGTAAAGGAGCAGTGGATTAATGGTTAATACGTTTGACTTTCAGAAACTAGGTTCCAAGTTCGAGCTCCATCTGACTTCATTTGGTTTGGGCAATCGATTACTGTCATCACCCCTCATACTTAAAGTATGGTTCATATCCAAATACCTGGTGAATAAGTTAACTTAATTTTTCCGTGTTGGAAACATTACACGCGTTCCAAGCAAGCAAAATGATCAGATTACATTCTCTTCTAATTTAATTTTTACATTTTTGAAAACGCCATTCGAAAGTTGCATAGATTTCATCATTTAATTTTTATAATCTTATTTTTATACTTAACTTCTTGACACTGAGATTGCTTTTTGCATGATATTTTTCTGTTTGAACTTATTCACTCAGGGTGAAGTTATGCTGAATGTGTCTAGTTCAACTGTTGTTCATAGACAAGATGGTATAGTAAGTTCGAATTGTATCATATAATACCTTTTCTCTGTGAAATTGTTTTCTATAAGATTTAGTATATGTGCATAAATTTAATTTTTTGTAACTGACTGCCTTCTGCTAATTCTTGTGATTTAAAATCAGTTTTTCAGACCTAATGAATTTTTATGTTTGAAAATTCGGCGATTAAATAAAGCCTCATTGGGTATAATTTCGTGATACGACATTTTTACGTTATTCCTGTTTGTGAAATTTGTTTATACTTAATAAAATTTCAAATACGCAGCTTCCATCTACAGTTGTAATGTATAAGTATCAATGTTGTCATTTGGTTTTTTTTAACCGTTCTAAATAGAGCAAATGTTCTATTGATAACATAATAGTTATTAAAATATATTACTATCGATATAGTGAAAAGAAGAATTTTACTTTTACTTTCAAACGACATCGAGTAATTCCCGTCAAGGATGCCTACTTTTCTCATTGCTTTTGTGTTTTCGTGTTGGATATAGATTAAAAGTAATGATTACTTCGTCGCATTTGTGGACAACTAAACTCTTCACTTTTTGATGTGAAGTTTACTTGTTCCAGAATGTAGTGTACACCAATGTCCAATCATTTAAGCAGCATACATCTTAATCGTTAATATAAATTATATACAATCTGGTGCTTCTTAGTGAAGATTATTGACTGTAAGAACTGATTCCTTTAATTTGCGCGTTATTTTCCTCTATATTTAATAATTACGGGCGACTTTTACGTGATTGTATACTATGCTGGATACAGATTTATTCGTTTTTTTACCCTTAACGTTTTCGATTACTACTCTCAATCAATTGACTTCTTTCAAAATAACTATATTTTTAGATTTCATCTATGCTTCGTTTATTGGAATTATCTAGACCAGAATGGAAAAGCATAACATTAGGTTGTTTAGCTGCATCTATAACTGGTGGATTACAACCTATATTTGCTATATTATATTCAGAGATTTATGCTGTAAGTGATATTTTAACAGAATGTAACATGTTTGGTAATGTTTTTTTAATTAAAACTATACTGTGTACATAAAACTCAAAATAAGCCTGTAATTATTCTTATCATCATGATCTATTTACAGTAAGTATCTACTTTTGGTGACTTCTGTGCGATGATATATACTACATAGATTGAAGAAAGGTTTTAAATTAGTAATAAGCTGGAATCTAAACATGTTACGTGTCTGTGCTCATATGCCGTCTTAGGATTGATTGGCAAGCAATAAGCTATAAGGCATACGGTTGAAAAGAGCCGATTATTCATATAGCTAAGGTCTCTGCCCACATGTCCTTGTTTAGATTAAAAGGTCAAGGGCATATATGTTAGCGCCTTGTGTATCTATTGATTTGCTTCTCTAATATACAGCCTTCTGATCATTTTTCACTCTGTTTAATTGTCTAAATGAAACATTAAATCACTTTATTTACACCAATTAACATATAAAATGGTTATAACTAAGTCTCTCATTTTGCGGCCAAATAATATGTACCTAATATTGCGAAACCTCTCATCATTAATCACAGGAAAACATTAATTCGTAATCTGTTTGCTGAATGTTTCACCAAATTCTATGTTTATCGAATCGTTCTTTCTTCGTTGAAGAAATATTTAAAAAGTTCACTGCTATAGTAAGTAGTGCTCGAAGTTACATAAACACAACATCAACTAACAGCAAATAAAGCAATGTTTTGAATTTACTTAACACACTGTTTGTTCATGGTGGATTTTTGTTCTTTGATCTGATTGGCTTAATCCTGAAGATTTCATCGTCCTCCTGAATAACATGATCAGCACATACTTTAGATAGTGGTGGATTAGCCTAATCTCCCCGTATATAACTAACGGCTCATTCTGTCAGCATTGTTTCTGGTTGAGTGTTATTGTCCTGTGATTGCATAGTTATTTTGGTTGTAATCTCTTTTGATCTTATAATCGTTTATGATTTTTCTAATTGGTTGACATATCACTTCGATTATGATGTTGTTTATCGATTGCCGATCAGGCTGGGTCTCAAGCTTCTAAAAAATGTTTGGCCTTCTAATGACTTCCTGTATTAAATATTCCGACATTTTCCCGATCAAACATATGTTTATAATGTCTATGTGCATTAATATAAACAAGGATACATCACGACCTCTGAAAACAACTACCTGGTGTTCATGCAGACAAATATAAAATGGACAGCTACTTTCTTCGATATAGCGTTTCTCATAATCGTAACAGTTACAAACGATCTTGATAATCATGTATTTTCTGATATATCCTTACTTGTAGTAGGATGATTCATTTGTTGATATCCATATTTGATTTCGTTCCTGCGGATTAGCTTAATAGATATTTCTCGATTAAGTTTTCTTAATAGCCGTTCTTTTAAAAGACATTCATTAAGTATACTTCTTAATTTCCCTGTGTCGTATTCAGTCAGTCAGTCAGTCAAACGCAACATAGAACCTAGTACCAATTTTCATCGGTTCAAGTTTCTGTGCCCCATTAGCACACCAAGATAAACTTGTCAAGGGAAATCTCAGAGTAATAGAGGTAGTAACAATATTAGTGATACTGAAAAAGATGAGACAAAAATACGAGTTAATAACATAATTTATCAATAGAATTACGAGTATTAAAATCATCACTTTCTTCAAAGTTTATTGGTGAACCTTTATAATTCATTTAGTAAATAATCAAACACTACCTAATTCTTTTGAAAAAGCGATTTTTTTCGGAAATCACATAGTGCTCTGTGGTATTGACTACTTCAGTAATGACATTATTGTTCTCTTTACGTGATTGATGAATCACTCAACCCTATCAACGACCAGTTATGTTCAGCATTAAACCTGACGTGTAATGCGTGGAACTAGACCATCTCACTAAAACCAGTTTGAAAAGATGGTCACATTTTTTGATTAGTCACCTCAATTATGCTCGTACACATATTTCGTGACCTACTTACGTGTTTACATTATGTGTAAACTGTTTTTCGGAAACAATGATCACTAATCATCGGAAAGGGTTAGGTAATCAGGTTGAAAAGAATTTACCTCACGGACGTAGATTGAAACTGTACGTACCAAGTATTCATACATCGAAAAGATCAATACCAACAATGGTCTAGGCAGACGTAAGCCAATATATTGTAGACAGCCTAAAATATACCAAAAGTCATAGAATAAAATCAACATTATTCCAGGATCTGAGATATGTTATAAGCTCACCTATAGACTGTCATCATATCTTTCAATTACTAATTTTCCATCGAATCTTTTTCATTTCATCTTAACTTTCATTGGCATCACTTAGAGTAATTTCTTTTTCTGCATGATCATATAGATATCCACTTGTTTCAATCTTCATTTAATTTTAAGGTAGAGATAGTAGAAGTATTAACCGTAATGGAGAAGATTACGGTCAGCAGATATTATCAAGAAGTGTAACTCAGTGAGATAACTGTAGAAAGAGATAGATAGAGATGATGAGAAATTCTGAAGACAAGAATTTGAGAGAAAACAAAGATCGGATGCACATGAACCATCGCAAACGATTTCAAGACATGTCGTTGAACGCCCCTAACCGTCGATTACTATCGTCTTGCGACCCCAACTAGGTAGTCCACATCTACCAACGCGACCCAGTTCTCTTGTCAGTGACTTCATCGATTTGTGGCATGTTTTGGTCTGGCCGCCACTAGCTTTCGTTCAACCTATTCCTACATCGCAAAACATAGCTCGACAAGGCAGTCGGTGGTTAAGCATTCGTAACACATGTCCCAACCACCTCAACTGATGAAGTTTCATTACTTCATCCACTTATCTGCCACCCTTACCTAGAACCCGTTTCTTAATGACAGCATTGCTTACTCGGTTGTCCCATGGTAAACGAGCAATGCTACGAAGACATCTATAATCGAATACTAATAACCTATGAATATCCCCTACTCTTAACGACCATGTTTCGCATCCACATAGCACGACAGAGCGAACTGCTGCACAGTACACTCGTCCTTTGGTCAGCAAACCGATATCTCGCCTACGCCATAGGTGACGCAGGTTGGCAAAAGCCAATCGAGCTTTCTGCATCCGTACTGAGGTTTCGTCAGTCACTAGACCATCGGCGGTGATAAGAGTTCCAAGATAAATGAAGCGGTCAACATGTTTAACTGCTTCACTCCCTATCATTAGTTCAGATGCCAACGCAAGTCAATCCTGAAGCAATGGTTTGCATTTCGAGGATGAGAACCGCATCCCGAACATGTTTGCATTGCTGCTTAGGGTAGTCAGAAGACTACATTCTGTCAGCTTCTTTACCGAATATAACTATGTCATCCGCATACTCCTGGTAGAAGGTCCACTCCTGAAAATTCAGACGAAGATAATGTTATATACAGGGGCATGTGTTTGCCCATCGATCTAATCTGGATTGAGAACGAATCACATACCCATCCTTTTCCGAGATAGTATTGGTAATAGTCGAATTCCTAATACCGGCTTCGTTGATAGGTCGGAACAGTTGTCTGCTATTTCTTATCATCTCCGCCTGTTGATTTGCTTCTATAAGTTTTATTTCAGGATATTTTTTTAGGATTGACATCCATCAGAAAGTAAAATTTGAAAAATAATAACTGTTATCGTTCTAAAAGCAGAGGTTTTTTTTGCTGGAACATATGTAGAATGCACCCAAACCATAATGAAGTCACTATGTGCCAGTATGTGCAGACTACCAAATTGAATTTCTCTTGATTATCGTTACCAGTGGTTGGAGACTTGTGTTTACATGATTCAGAATCAATAGCAATGGGGCGGATACATTCATGCTTTGTCATAAAATACTTAACCTTCTCATTCTGAACATTCTTATTTCTACTCGAATAATGTTGTTTACGCGTACTCGTTTCCACTACTACTTACAGTGTTACTATTTTTCCTACTTTGGAATTTGTATTTATACTTTCATTTGTATATGCTGATGTTGTGTGACATACGAGGCACTTATATACCAGATTTTACTGCGCTTACGACTGACTAATTGGTGCCTAAATAATCTAAAAGGAAATCAGCGTTTTCTTCGGTTTTTTCCGTTGTTATGTTAAGGTTATAGATATAAGATTCTGAATTAGTTTTATCAAATTATGCATCACTGTGTAAATCATAATCCGGTTATTTCCAATAATAGCTACATATTTTATAATAACTATGTCTAACAAAAAAAAAGAGAAGTAGTTGTGAATAGTTGAAATACTCAGTTTTTTATACATTTACGTTAATAGTTATATTGTCGTGCATATGATTATTTCGTTCATTTTGCACGTCACTAAGATAGAAATGTTTATTTTATAAATTGTATGTAGATTGTGACAACTACTTATATTACATATTTATTCTGATTTATCTTTGTATGAATATACATAAAGCCTGACAATTATGGGACTATCATATGTGTAATTTCTATCAATAAAAGTCATGTGCGCCTTAGTGTCATATTTCCGAAAGTGATTCATGGGGTTTCTAACGAGGAACGGTGACCAATTCATTTCTGTCTGATCGAGTCTGAGACAGTTGTCAATCACAGGTAATTGAAGATGTCCGTGCAATATCACGAACTGACTGAAGCTAAACATGAATGCCAGCTTAGCAGTGTAAAGGTTAAATGTTCACTGTCAGACCCGCAGGTCTCGGATGTGATCCTCGATAGGGCCGCGAATGTACATGACTGAAGAATCCTATGCTAAGACGAAGCAGATTTTGAGCACTTCCTGGTTTTCAGTGGTTATCTAAATAAGATCAATCCGTAAACCATACAAAATCTGTACTTATTTCTCATAATTAATTATAACTTTTTATAAATTAACATTTCCTAAATGTATCTATCTGCTTATCAATTTATTGTACTGAACTTGCATATTAAATCTTTCAACAACCTATTCATTGATGTGACTGATGATTCAGATCCGTACTTCGTCAGTCCACTCACACTCACTTTTTCTTCTAATCTAGATGCATGTAATATAACATTCCCAACACTGATTTAACCTTTAATATCATGTTATTTGAACGTGGTATACGACGAGATGAGTCTAAGTACAATATGCCAAATCAAACAAGATCGAATAATAATCGTGATCCAGTGTGCTTACATACTCAAAATATATAACTCCTTTCTATTTAGATATTAGGTCGGTTGAAGGAGAAGTCATCGTTGTCTCGTTGTTCATCTTACCGATATTAAGTTCACACCAAACTAATTATTGCTTTAATTCAGCAAAATTGCCTAAATAAAATCTATTATACTGAGCTTCTGAGTGACTGGAAAAAAAACAGCCTCAAGTTTTCAGTTAAACTTTGAAGTATTCGAAAAAATCTCGGCAATCAAGTGTCCACGTTATCAATAACTATAATTTACCATATGTAACTGTCAGTTCTTGATATACTGAATAACGTTCTCATTATTTTACTTTTTATGTCCATATTTTCCTTTGTATTTATCTTGACCTCAGTATTACAGTTTATCTTTTATTTTAACACAGATTTTTAGTTTGGTTCAAGCACCTAATGAAATGCAAATGAGAGCTAATTTAGTCACAGGTATAATAGCTCTAATGGGTTTGATTCGTTTGGCCAGTTCTACGTTTCAGGTGAGTTGAATAAGTACTTTCAATATTGTCTTTAAAAATTGCAATGTTTTGGGTGAATATAATTCACATACCAAGCACACGCTTATGTAATTTGCTTATTGTCATCCAAACACAACATAGGACATGACACATGTGCACTGGTTCACGTTATAATATTACATTGGCACAATGTTATAAAGTTATGAAAACTAATCCAACAGTAGTAATACCATTGCAGATGATTTTTTCATGTCCCCCACAATCTCATCTACACCTATTAATATAGTTCAGTTCAATAGTCAATGCCTGCCACATCTGGTTTTTGCTGCCTCTAACTTCATTCCAGTTTACTCCTTCATCAAACAACGTTACCCATAGATGTTACGCATACACGTAAACACGTCACTTGATATGCTTGAACTATTACAAGTTTACCTTAGTCAGAAAACGAGAGTGAGGATTGAGGATTCGGCGACACTACATGCTACTCTAATCCGAATGTCCCAACCCCCATTGAATAAAAGAAGAAAACTTGATATGAAGTAGAACCTGTATTGTACAAGCATCCAGATAGTACGAGGTCCGAGTCCGGAAGAGAATCAGGATCCCGGACTAGGGATCCGGGTCATAAAACGTTACATATATGCATATTTATACAGTTAGATCGAATAGGAAACAACATTGAAGTACGTGACATTGACAGTTAGGACGACAAATAGGAATTGACTAATAGAACTAGACTTACAAAAAATTCTCTCTCCCTTTCTTTGCCTATATGTTCGACTCAAAACAGCCTAAACTTGATACGAATTTAGAAAGCTCGGTTGAGTCACTTAAAGTGTAGGTAACTAATATGAGTGTCTTTGAACCATTACTTGTTTATTTTAGGATCATCGAACTAGCAATTCCAAGGTTAGTTGCAGTGTATCAGGTAAATATCGCAAATCCTTTGACAAGTTAATGAATCTTTATTGACTGAAATGGATGGGATCACGTATATCCATCCACCTAATACTCCGACTCACAGTAGCAGTTGTAGAAATTGGTTGGAAAAAAGTTGGACGACCAGACCAAAACATGACACTGACTACTGGACTGAACTGTGTAAGTAGGTGCAGAATACCTGGTTGCAGTCCGCATTATCATCATAAACATTGGTTAGAGATTTTGAGTGATATAGTATAGGTACATTCGTTCTTTGTCTTCCCTAATATCTTAAGTTTTTAAACTCCAAATAATCACCTTTTATTTCACTAATTTACATTTTCTTTGAATCATACTTTCGATCCTTAATCTTTTGTACCGCCACTAATTCTGTTACTGTCTCTACAACCGTAGGACCTGCCCTGATAATTTGATGTGACCTTGCTAATAGAGTATGGCAACTTGAACTGATTTACATATATACCAGGTATTAGTTTATGTATAACTGACTAGAACTTGACAGTAGAGACTCGTGATACACTCAACTCAAGTATCCAACTTTTGATCAAGAACAAGAGTCTGTTAACACAATACGACTCAGTAAAAAACTGAAACAAATAGAAATATATAGTTTTATTTTATATTTTGTGTAACGGCATATATTTTTCGCTTCATTGATTAGGCACCCCTAAATTCCATCAGACATATCATTGTCGCTATTGTGACGTTTGAAAAATTGCTGTTTTCACAGTTGTCAATATGAACATTTTAGATTTAGGTTGTCTTGTTGAGTAGAGATTTTTGTTGTAACATAGAATTTTCAGGTTTCTGATATGCTTGAGCTACTACGAGTTCACCTTACTCGGTAAACGGAACGAAGATCAATGATTTGGCGACACGATGGGCTCTTCTAATCCGATCGTTCCGCGCCCCACTAACTAGAAGAAGAGCTCTTGATATGACGTAGAGAAATGTATTCCACAGGCACCAGAAAGTAAAAAGCGTACAACTCTAGCTTATTTATATACTGACAAGACGCCGTTGGTGAGAGCCACAAAATAGCGTACTAAAATCATCCATCAACCAATGACAGTCTTGGACTTCCAAGTGGGAAATGCAAGTTGAAGGTCAAAATAAGCGTCTTTGTTGCGAAAACATAAAATCCAAAGTTACAAAATTAGGACCTTTTCCAAGTAAGTTCTGGGTATCTAACGACCCCAACAGTTTCAATCTACAAATTGAAATTTATTAGTGTCGATTTAAAGTTTTATTCCTTTTTCTGTTCTCAAGGGTTATTTTCTCGGTGTTGCTGGTCAAAAACTCACTAAACGTTTGCGCCAAAATTTATTTACATCTATGTTGAAACAGGTAAGCAATTATTCATTTCAATCAGACTATTAGTCAATTGATCTTGGTAATCTTGGTGATTTTTCTTCACATACGATTGAAGAAATAATGTATACAAAAATGTAAATGGTTTTGTCAGTCAACTGTTTAGGCAAATTTGATTTTAGTTGAAAAATTTTGTCATTTATAAAAATATATATATATATATAGATTAAAAATATCGTTTTAAATACATAGTCATGTCTCATATTGAACAGTCGATGATTGAAATAGCTAACTGTATCGCACAACAAGGCTACAATACTTCTAATTCACTTTATATGCGTTTAGTATAATCTTAGTTAATACTATTCACAAAAACTGTTCATTCTTCTTAACTATCTAATACATAAAATCTGCAAACCTGTTCAACACAAGTTTTTGTATGTCACTTGATAGTGGTTCATTTGATATACAATAAATAAAACATAATTCAAGGTATTTTAGAATCATACTTGACCCATATATTCATCTTGTTTTACTCAATCAAGGTAAAGAATTTTCAAGCTTCTAACATACACACAACCGTGTTTATCGTTCATTGAAGGCTTAAAAGAAGCACACAGAACAGTTAGTTCAAACACAATCCGTTAATTCAAGTCAAACAATATAAGACTAAAGAAACTAAATTCATCCGGATATATGTATAGATCACTAGCTTTCTATTCAATGATATATAAAAAGTATCACGAACAAGGAAGTTCTAGATTACATACTTTGTGTATATGTGTGTTGTTATAAACACACACTCAACGAATCGCAAATTGCATGGTTTTTACTAGTTATCCAAATAATGGCAAACAATTAATCCATAATAAAAAGAATTTCTAATTGTATTGTGCTCAATCATTTATTGCGTTTATTAGTAGTTGGCTGTAGTATATATATATAATATTTATGATTTTCAATGTTATTTAATAAAATCTTCGTGGATCATAGAATTTGTTTATCAACTAGAGTTCACTTTTAGAATAACTAACTTGACGTTTTTCTGTTGGTCACACCACAATGAATACCACTGCCCACCCCTTCCAAGAAGAAAGATATGGTAATAAAATGCATGCCTCACTCACATTTTGATTATCAATGTTTTGAATTTCAATTATTGTAGAAATATTTTTGAAAGATCTCGATACTTATTTCTTACGGCTGTTTCTATGTCTTATTTACTTACTTTGCTTTAAGGAAATGGCTTGGCATGATAAACCGGAAAATAGTCCTGGTATTCTATCATTTATATTAACATCAGATGCAAATAAAGTGAATACATTTTGCGGCACTTCGTTAGGTCGTTTAGTTGAATCATTTATACTGGCAACATTTTCATTGACAATTGGCTTTGTCTACAACTGGAAATTGACTTTAGTGATATTGGTTTTCTTCCCGGTGACTATATTATCAAGTTATCTACAGGTTCGTATTATTATTATTATTATTACCGTCATTATTTATTCTTAATAACATTCAATAATACTCATTTGCTCAATAATGGTTTATGTACCTAATTTTGAATCATAGTATTTGTGCGAAGACTAATCATATTATCTGAGAGTTCAGGATGAAGTATTAAAAGTGTTGGAGATCCGAACCTGTCACTGGTTAGTAGTTGCTTTCGTTAGCCATTAAACTACTGATTTATTTTAGTTTTTTGATCTTGTATTTCTTTATCTCTTACATGGTATATCAATTTGCTGGGTTTTTTTCAAGTATTTGTTTATTTTGGATAAACGAACGAAATAATCAACTCAACAAAATCTAAGCAGACCTATAAACAAGTTTCTGTATTCTTTCTTAAGAACTGTGTGAAATCCTTTCATCTATAATGACTTTACGTTAAACTTAAATTATGTAACAATAGCTGTAAAAAAAATACTGGGAAATTTTAAGTTTAATCTCACGGAATTCTTAAATTAAACTTGCAATCTTCAATAAATATTGTAGCATAAGAGTAATATTCTGAACACTCACCTTGTAACTGTTACAGTTTCAAACTTTGACTTTTCTCGGTAGCGTAGTGTTATCCCTAACTCCATGTACACAGTCCCAGTCTACAAAAAGGGTCAAAAGTCCTCTTGTGACAATCGCAGAAAAATCAGTTTACTTACTTACGCCTGTTACCCCCAATGGAGCATAGGCCGCCCACCAGTTTTCTCCAACTAGTATAATATACTAAATATTGGCCTCCGACACCTAACTAGAGCTCGTGAAGAGCAGACTAGAGAAAACCAGATTGCTTTCAGACCTGGATGTGGATGCATAGACCAGATATTCACACTACGTCAGGTCCTAGAACATAGACACACTTTCAGATGCCCCACAATAGTAGTATTTATGTGGCAATGTCTGTCATTAAAGGTGTACCAAAGAAATACATTAACGTCACAAATAAATATATAATACTGTATTTCAAAAAAATTAATTACTCTTATCTACATGTTATATCTGAGAAAGATTCGTGAAGTAATTATTTTTGCTTTTTTTACTTTACTGTTCATATCACAGCTTCGACAAATCCATACCAATTCTGATATTAACTATGAAACCATGACCGCCCGCGTTATCTATGAAGCGCTTAGCTCAGCAAGAACTGTATATGCTTATAGTTTAGAAAATTATTTTTATAAACATTATTGTACTGCACTGAATTTGGAAATGGCGTAAGTTATTTGCTACAAATGATGTAATTATCAATGTTTACTTGTATTATGAGTCGACTTTTTTCATAATAATTCTTATTTTAATTAATTATGAAAATTTGTTACAATGTCATTTTCACCAAACTTTATTATAATTCATTTCAACTTTGATGGAGCAGTGGCAAAGGCATTTGTTTCTCAGCCGTGAAATTCTTCTAAGCAAATTATTGTACCACACCAGTCAATCAGTCATACAATTTATTATGTGATATAGAAATATACATCAATTCAAATTGTCATACTTCACATTGTCACACAACAAAAACGAAAATTAACAAAATGAAAATTAAAAAAGAAATAATATCAAATACAAAAGTGAATTAGACTTGAGAAATATTATTTGCAATAGAACAAATAAAAAGGTACAGAATGTCATTCAACTCAAAATTTCGAGGATAAATTAAACTATTCTCCATTGCAATTTTTTTCGATCCTTGTCACTGAACTTTTCTGCAATAAAGAGATTTCATAAATATATATCTATATGTATATAATCGATTCCAGTTAGTAAATGTGTGATGAATTTAGGTGAATATACTTTAGATTTTAGATATTTTTTCTAATTAATAATTTCGAGATTACTTCCTTCAATCCAGCTTTTGCATACTGTCATACGAACTATCTCAGTTATTGATGTGAAATACTGTGTAAAAAAAAATCTATTCATTGGATGACAAATGCCTTGATCATACAAGTTCCCGTTACCTTTTATATTGTGTTATTCGGTAAGCTCAATACGATCGTTGCGCTAAGTGATTAAACCAACAAATCATTTCAATTTGTTAATTGTTTGACAGTTTGTGATTTGTTTCCCATTTAAAACCTGAATTTAATATCCATCCAATCTTAATCTTCAATTATTGATGAAAATAGTCTTCAAATTAATATTATACTATTGTCATATCATTACAAAAAAAATAAACAAGCTGATTATTAAGAAAAAAATTGTAATTAAACTTTTATTTCATTTTTTTTTCCTTTTTCAATTTACAATTCAGTACTGGCAATCGTACTTTTACAATGTATGCATTTGTCTATGCTTTAGCTCAATCATTGCCAATATGTTCGTATGCTGTTGCATTTTCTTATGGTGCCTATTTAATCAGTTTAGAAGAAATTAGTTTAAATGATGTATTCAAGTATGATTTTATAAATTTCTATTTATTATTGATTTGGTTAATTTCTTAGTTCAAGGACAATATTTAATGTTAAAAGAATAAATGTTACAGATTGTTTGAGATCAGCAGCTACACCCTGGTTATATGTATATAAGCGAAACACTATCGATAATATTACAGAGGTCAATTATTATTAATTACATCTTTATTTGATTTGTGTACCATAAGTCCATTCTACTTGTTATGTCAATGAGAAATGGATTCATTCAACTGCAATTTGTCGATCTAGCTTACTCTTATATCTATCTTGAGGTTGTATTTTTGTGCAAGCCTATAATAATAACACTCAATGAGCTTGGCTGGATACAATAAAATTAACAATCTGAAAGTGACACCAGCCAACTAGATGACAGTGGACGTCATTGCGAAAAAATAAATTTCAGAAATATCATTAAGGTTATCGTATAAAAACATGATCAACTTATATAACAACAAAAAAAAGAATACTAGATAACTTATTAAACCCTGTTTAGCAATTACCTAGCTAATTTTTGTCTAAAAGCATATATTTATATCATTAGTCATATATTGGAACCAACGTTGATTATTGTATTTTGAAGGAATGATACTTGACACCAGTCATATCGCTTATTGATCATTTAATTTTTCAATCAACAGTAATCACTAAGATCTAAAACTATAATCTTTAATCATTACTGACATTTTTATCATTTAATGATTAACCCGTTTTTTAGCATAGTAATATAATTGAATAGTTATTCATTCAAATGTGATGTTATTATTGCTTTACAAAAAAACTTCCTAAAATATCCATTTTATCTTATTTGTGTATTTATGACGCCAGAACAAACTAACTAAGAAGTAATAATGAAAACTGAACTTCAATTGAAAACTTGCAAAACTATTTATTATAACCTATTTTCCCCTATGTAACAAGTCCATGTAGTCATTGAGTGCTGAACTCAACTTTGTTGATATGTACAAACTACTAGATTAAAATGTATGCGATCATCGCGATCAATTGCTGGAGTCGTTGAGTAGTGGTAACCTAATAGAAAATTGATTGCAATAGATCGGTTGCATTCATTCTTTGACTTTCTTAAATCTCAAGATTATCTTAAACTTATTTCTTTAACTCCGTGAATTTCTTTCTTTCTCGAAACACATTGTTTACATCTACTTTTCACTACCACTACTCTATCATTTCTCTTAATAATTTCATCTCTTTATGGCATGGCAACTGAAACCAATGAACTGTGTGCCAGATTCCAGGTCACTTATGACTGACTGATCCTTAATAATTAGTATCATTCTGCTACAAAGAAGTAGTTATTTAAATTAATCGACCAAGCAGTTTGAGTAAATCGTTCGAACTTTAACCAGTGGTGACACGTTCAAACCCTGCTTTATTGAATCCAGTTTGCATGTTTGAATAGCGTATCTCACAACTTTCATATTTACTACCAGTAATCAATCCAAAAAGAGACACAAAACATATAAAACTGTGATTTTGTTCTAACTACAGCCATTATTCCATTAGATTTAATTAGGTTTACTTCTCTCCAGATTTTCTTGACTTGTATAATTATTATACAGTTTTTTAGGAGACAATCGATTGTCTGTTTTTCACTCGATAAAATAATCTGATTCTTAACTACATTCAAACGTGAATGAGGAGTATAAGCACTGGCTAAGTTTTGCGACCACCGTAATGATATTTTCTTGGTTTAAACTATTTACTCACTAGTAACTAATTCCGAGAGATAATTCCTGGATTTCTAATGAGAAGTGATAACTAGAGTTCAACCGTGTCAGGTATGAGACAGTTACCTACAGAAGATAATGGGTGATAGTTGAGCAATATCATGAATTTATCGTTGTTAGGTACGCACATCATGGGATGCCTGCTCGGTGGTCGAAAAGTTAAATGTGTACTGCAAAACCTGGAGATCCTAGAATCGCAGATAGCATTGGTGGTGTCCCATGCTGGGAAGAAACCCGTATACTATCTCCTAGTTTCCGATGCTTGTCTAAATCAGATCCTTTCGTGAACCCAACTACATATTTTCCCATGGTCTTTTCTTTTTTTTGTTGATAATAACAAGAAAGAGAGTTTTTTTAAACGTCCTAATAGTATTGCACTTAAGATCAATACACTTTCGGAGGGTGGCGGTACTTCTGACCATGTGTCACTATTATTTTAGACCGAGAGTCCTGTAGTTCCATCCATTGTTTCTGAAGTATTGTTCCATTACTGTTGGTATTATTTCTAAATGTTCTTTCTTGTTAATTCCCTTTTAACATTACTAATGATAACAAGTACAATGACTTGAACTGCTACACATCTATACCAGATCCCTTACGTTCAGTAACTTTTAACTTCTCTAAATTATTTGTTGAATTCACCATTATGAACATTTTTAGTAAGTTCCTAAAAGAATAGATAAAATAATTGTACGGAAAATACTTCGATCAATAATCCATAAAACCTGATATACTCGAAACCATATCTGTTTACATGAGTTCTTTTTTATCTTTAAGGGTTTTCGCTGCTATCAGTTTTGCAGCACAAGCACTTGGTAGAACGTCGCATGTAGGACCCGAAATGAAGAACGCTTCATTGTCGGCTAGCCGAATTTTCAAAATTCTCAATAGGGATTCTAAAATTCCTATAGATAAAGGGTTATGCCCTGACCGACCAATAAGCAATATTCCAATCGAATTCAGACAAGTATCATACAGATATTCATCTAGGCCGTCGTCTTGGGTTTTAAAGGTAAGTGCCTTTTATGTCATTAAGATGAAATCGTAATTTTTATGGCTGCTGTACGGTATTGTGAGTGATCTAGTATTTCGAGAATCCTTAATCATTACTTGTACCACCATAATTCACTATATTATAGGATCTATAAACCTAGCTCTTAATCATTCTTCTTCGATATTTCTTCTCATTGAATCTTTTAATAACTGGTGTTTCTGTCTAATATGAATAAATTAAGCTGTTAACTTCAGTGATAACATCAGCGAGACAACTTAAATGTATTCTATCTATTAAATATACAGTTTCATTTTGGTCTGCGCATTTCCTTATTGTTTCGTATAATCAGTACCAATATCATCGTTTTACTTCTATCGAGATACTGGTAGGAATTATATGTTGCTACCTTGTCTATAAAACAGTGAACGGATTTAAGTTCAACACTCCTATTTACTCGTTATTCATAATCCCTATGTAACTGTGATCTTTATGAAAACCCTGGAAGTTAAATTTTACACTAGTCCGAACACTAGTAGATGAAGAATCCGCACGTAGCACATTACTAAGTTTATACTTACTTAATTCTGTAGTCCATTTAATATTTTAAATTAATGTTCTTGTGAAAAGTTTTATTAATCAAACTTCTACAATCCGTCAACTTTACCATGCGGAATGCCCACTTGTGAATATAAGGTTGATCCCGTATTTACCCATTGGATATTATGTAGTTAAACTAAAGACACCAAATGTATATCAGTACCGTTTATTCAAATATGAAGTTTGACACATCACAAAAGAAACAAGAGGTACTATCTCAGTGAATAGTCATCCCAACAGCATGATTATTGTTATAATTTTCTTTTTATCGCGACCCAGCTAATGCTTAGTAGTTTCGGACACCAATTCACTCGAGACGTTCTCACAAATCAGAACACGGTTCAACAGGAAATAGATCAATTTCCAATCACAAGGTTGGATGGGAGTCAGAAGGTTCAAAGGAAAAAGACGTTAGTATACTTATTTTCTTACATGAGATTCTAGAATTTTCCCTCAGTATCGGCTAGCGCTGATTGGATACGAAAGGGCCAATCAGCGTGCAACAATGCAATCATGCTTTAATCCTATCTATGTCCCACTAACAGTTATCTATCAAATATCCTTGCCCACTGCAATAGTTAATATCGAGCTTACTGATGACCCGAATCTCGGAGATTAGACTTCGACTAAACGTTTCCTATGGAACGCTTCAAATCAGTTGATGTTCAACATTCGATTGAACCAACCGCAGACATTCGATTTAAAAGCATATTATTTTGGTTCTTCGCTGCATCACTGCTACTCGCACACATTTTCTTGTCAACCAACTCATTAGTTTCCATACGTTCCTTACTGCCTTGATCTTATATGCCGTCTGCTTCAGTCCTGACCATTCATCCTCCACTATGTTGTTGCGCTTCTTGAAACCGTCTATTCTGAATAACCGTCAGACTACACAATCGTATTTACAGATAAAATCTAACTACCTTATTTGATAAGAACTAGTGTCCTGACTATATTTCACCCATGCAAGTGGCTTCGTCATGAAATTGGGTCGGCTGACACATCTCAAAATTGATGTATTTCTGACACAAAAAACTGGATTTATGCCTTGTATTCTATTGATGCAAAAGAAATTCAGCGTTTTAACATGGAAATGTGTTAATTGTCATCGTTTCACTAGGACTTTTCATGGACATTCCAACCTGGCCAGAATACTGCTATTGTGGGACTTTCTGGATCTGGTAAAACTAGTATTTTACACTTAATTCATCGGCTTTACGAAGCTGACAGTAGTAACACGGACAGCGGAATATTTCTCAACGATATTAACATCAGAATGATTTCACCTAAGTGGATTCGAGAGCAGATTTGTGTCGTAGATCAAGAACCAAAACTTTTTAATCTTACACTTATGGAAAACATTGCTTACGGGGACAATGCACATCCTGTAACGATGGACGAGATAACTGATGCCGCGCGGCGCGTAAACATTCACGAATTTATCATGAGCCTACCACAAGTAAGCCATTATTGGTATTACCTATATTAGGAATTGACTGTCATTTTTGTTATATTTTTGTCTTATTGTCCGGTATATTCCTAAATGTTTACTCGTTTCAATGACAAAGTTGCTTATCAAAGTACCATGTGTTGATACATTATGAACCTAACCATTGCTAACAATAATTTACTGGCTAACTATTTCCATTTAAGCTCGAATATGCGACTATCCCAAAAGTGAAGCATTTTAAAGCTGATAAATATATCTGATAAAATGGATATATCAGGCTGGACGCCCTAATTAATGTCCAGTGTAAGGAATCTAAAAGAAAGGAATAAGTAGCTACCTTGAGCTTAATATCAAAATAGATATCCCAATTAGGCGAGTAACTTTAATTCTGTAACATCCAAGTTAATCAAATTTACTGTATAATTTCCTCTTCAGGGATACAACACGCTAGCTGGTCCTGGAGGTACTCATATTTCTACCGGTCAAAGGCAAAGGATTGCAATAGCGCGTGCTCTCGTGCGTAAACCAAAACTACTACTTCTGGATGAAATTACTTCTGCAGTGGATCCAGAGAACGAACGATATATTCAAAACTTATTGACAGGACTACCACAGGACTGTACATATCTATTAGTTACCCATAGACTACTTTCAACATCAAAAGTCGACCAGATTTTGTTCATATCAAGAGGTAGAATTGTCGAATCTGGTTCATTCGATCAACTAAAAGAAGCTAAAGGAGTATTCTATGCATTACTTTATCCTGAAGAAATCAAACAGAGGACTTGAGTTTCTTACATTGATGAAATACTTTGTCTTCCTAAACAATAACAAACTCTTAACTGTAAATTCCCAGTCTATCAATAAACCAGCTCGATATCCTTAGCACTTTTCGTGAACTAAAAACAAGGTATAAAGAACATTATGTATATTAACCGCAAATAGTTCTTTTGAAATACAAGCGCAGAAACAAACGGCTTTTTTGTAAATGCTCTTTTAGGAAATATAATATAATTCAACGTAACATTAGTGACCAAGATGATTTTTTGCACAGGAAGAACAACAAAGTAGTGGCGCATTAGCGAGATACGGTGCTGCTGACAAGAACGTTCTAAATGGGTTAGGAAGCATGGTTTTTCGGGTCTTGTTTACACAACTCCGGCCCCACGAATTAGTATTATAGCTAGGTAATCATCTTTGCCATAATCTTTTTCTAGTCGTGGAGCACTTTCACGCAAGAGACTCAAAGCAAAATCACACGGTGGGAATGCGTACAATACCCCGGATGTTGCCTCTGTAGTTGAAGGAGATGCAGAATCATTCGAGTTCTGCCCACCAGGATTTAAAAGCACTACTCCAGCAGAGTCTTTTGCACGTAAATATCCGATCAGATTTCGAAGCGGTCTTTGAGGTTGCTTATCGCCATCTGCAACTTCATTGCACGAAACAGAATGTGGAGGTACTGCCAAAAGAACGCAAAACCCAGTGGAACCGGCTGTTTGGATACGCTGACTGACGTCGTCTAACTTTACCGGGTCTAGTCTCATTCGTTGAGTAATACGTAATGAAACTACTTGATCTTTGTTTGTACACTCACTTTTAACACTATCTTGTGCATCATCCTGAGATTCACTAGAATCAATGTCATCTAATGATGTACGTTTGTCCTTGTTTGACTTCTTACTTGTATGACGAGTTTCGTTCGAATTCGCAGATGCCTTTGAATTAGATCCTTGGTACATGAACTGATCAACAAGGCTTCTATCACCTTTCAAAATATGCATTCTGCACTGAAAGCTACTCGACTTTAGATAAAATGCCCCATCCCATACCGAAGGAAGGCAAGATGCTATCTGTTCTACGTTTGTGGATGTTTCTAATGTCGGTGATCTTGAAGAAGAGGATGAATATCTGCGAGACTTAGATGATGAAGGCGAACGTGAAGCGAAACGCGCTGAGTCAGCCTCACGACTTAGTGAGTGGTCTCGTAGACTACGTCTAGGTGCCCTTTCATTCGTAGCTTTTCTAGATTTATGACCAGATTCTCGTCTATGATTTGATGAAGCAGAATTACTGCGGTCACTGTCAGCATAAGTTCTTCGATCGCGTTTGTATTTTGAGTAATGATTATTACCACGAGAGTAGGCATTGTCTGAAGGAGAATCTTCACGTTTCATTCGAGGCGTCAGTGATCTCCTGGATGAGTAATGTCTGGGACTTGACTCCGAGGACGAATTTCTTTTAAACCGCTTCCAATTAGGATCTCTAAACATATGTGACTCATCAGTAAAGTCCACTCGAATTCGCTTATGACTTTTTCCTAACGGATATCCACGTAAAAGATCAGCTGCAACAGCAGCGGATTCGCTATCGCTATAAAGAATATGAGCATAGTTTTTTCCAGATGGCCAGATGATTTTTTCAGGTGCGCTGATACTGTTAACGAGGGTTGCGAACTCAGGATAATTTGTCCATGGACCTAACCCACCAATCCATAGACATCGTGTAGGAATAACTTTTCCATAACCAATTTTGAATCGGTATTCACCTATCATTTGTCCAGACAAATTAACTTTTGCGCGGTGTGCCATGTCTAAACTAAGGTATCGAACAAAAGCGAACGCGGTTGCTCCAGTTTCTAGTTCACGACGCTTTATATCAATATCTTCAATTATACCATAACGTTCGAAAAGCTTCCTTAGTTCAGGTTCTTCGACATCTGGTGGTAAATTGCCCAGAAATAATGTTCTTGTCGCATTAGGGTCATCTTCGGGATTGCGATGTTCTACTGGACGAGCGTAACGAGCATTGAAAATGCTAAGCATATCTTTTTCCTTACTAGTTGTTTTTCGACGACTGCTTCTTGAATCTTCACTTGCATACTTATCACTGGAACTCCGAGCAGGTCTATGTGACGATGAATCATGACGGCCACGACTAGTCCGAGTAGCAGATTCCAGTGCTTTAGTTATGTGTGACATTTGTTTGCTTGATATCACGCCTCCGGCACCTAATGCTGCAGCCATTGCGGCTGCGTTCATCGCGGCTGCTGCCACGGCTGCAACCCCTTTAGAGCCAAGAGGAATTGGAAGGTTTGGTAATTTCCCTGATGATGCAAGACTTGCAGCCAACATAGGATTAACCCGACTGGAAGAATTAACCAAGGATTTCGACGAATGACTGGATAGTCGTGTACTTGATGGCGCATAGGATTTCCTTGAACTTGAGTAGTCGCTGAAATAGCATAAAAAATTAAGTCAAGTAACTATGTAACAAATTCGAATTTAAAATCAACCAGATAATAAGATTTGTCAATCACCCCATAGTTCAACATTTAGTTTGAAATGACTTAGTATGCAATTTATTGTATAAAATGTCCTGCACGGAAATAACTTGATGGACGCAAAACAGGTTTGTAAGGCTTGTTAACACCTTTATCTACAATCGAATTTGTACTAAATGACATCACTTCCTACTGATAAAACACACGTAAGACGTAGTCGCGCTACAGAGGGTTGAACTGGAAAGTTTTCATTCAAGCTGTTAGCTTACGATGATTACAATCTTAATCTCTACTTCCATAAACAAATAATATACACCAGAAGTTAACTCTTATAGACAAATAGTAAACCGATAGTTAAAGTCAGGACTGCAAAGTTGAGTAGCATTATGAAGTTCGGTAAGATCATTCATAAGTTATATTTAAATGAATGTGAAATTAATAAACTTTAGTTTATCTAAAGAATGAAACGATCATTAGTTCATAAAACTGATTTACTTCAACTTTACTTACCTCTGGTTATCTTTTAAATAGTTCAGCTTCTGCAATCCCCAACAGTATTGACTCATAAAACAATAGTGAATCCTACCTCTACATATTATACACCACTTAGGTTTCATATAGTCGTATGACGAAATCAATCCTCTGGCTGAGTAGTTTATCACTTTAAAATGGTACAGTTGCGACAATTTACCTAGGATTACCTTTTCTTATTTGCAATATCACGAAAGCTTTTGATTATCTTACACTATTTGACATCTTGAAAATATCCGTCTAAGAACGATTATCCCGATGTCCAAATTTTTGTCGCAATTCAGGCTGTATTAACAACTGTCAGTCAGTTGTAGCCGTAAATTCAGATTATTTTACTGAAGAATGCATTTCCATCAAGCAATAACTAAACTGAAACTCTTTCAAAACTGCATCTATTGATTTAGTCTAGCCAAGAGAGATAGATTTCAATGAATAACTGGATAGACGATTGGAATTTCGGTCACCATAATTATGATTTATGATTCTTTTATGATTATGCATCCTTTATCTAAACACAAACATTGGTACAGAGAGGCACCGAAGTATATACGCGCCACACGAATCATTGCATTTTTTATGGGTTGGGATACTGCCCGGGTGCCAAATCGAAGCAGGTACTATCCTTTTAAATCTAGACAAAAGTTCATTTAAAATCATTGTACCGCTGCAGTGCTTGCGCTAACATAGTCCCATTTTCTTATGTTTAATGATAATACATCATCAAACGTTGTGTGAATATGAAGATTAACTTCCAAGCCTTTGCAAAGATATACTGAACATCAACGATCGAACCTTCAGTATTATAAAAGGTTAATGAATTGACCCATAAGCTACTTTTATGTCGTTTTCTCAATATACTGTTTAAAACGACAGAGACTATGTATGTAACCTCTGCTTGTTTGTCATATGTATTATTCAAATGAACTAGACTGAATCAACTTTCTCTTTCCTGATTATGACAAAAGTACAAAACGCAGTACTAAGGATTGCATAAACCACAGACAAGCTGCATAGTTGATGCAACTTAACCAAGTACATGTTTTATATTTAAGTTATATATATATATATATATATATATATATATATATATATCATCTAATAACCATGTAAATTCACGTATTCGACCTAAAGCCACTGATGGTACTTGGCCGTTCAGTTTGAAGATGAAGTAGCTGATACTTAAATCTTGACTATTGAGTCACTATATAGGTCACCTAATCCCGACTGTGCTTATGCGATGTGTACAATACATCTATGATTTATTACTTGTAATTTAAGTACAATCACTGTTCAAAATCATGGAAGAGTAAATCGTCAAGCATTTAATCGTTATTCCAAACAAAGTTGTATCCGTTCATTATGCTTTGAAGGTGATTGAAAAGAAATAAACTAGTCTTTACGTTAAAATTGTAAAATACAACTATGGTACATAATATTTAGCTCATAAGCATCTTCTTGACTTAGGTTATAACCTATTGGTACCTCAGCTACCAAATGAGAACCGTAGTTTACCATATGATAGGAGAACCTACAGTTTTCTGCATCCATATCTTCATCAAACGGAAAGAAGACTACTTGGGTGCATAACTGTCATTCGTACATTTATGAAAGACTAATCTGAAAATAAAAAAGCAACTAGCAGTGTCATACTGCTGGTGAACATCAGTCAGCGACATTTGTGGACTTGTCTTGTGGGTTTGAGAGCCTTCACAATCTCAAAAGTTGAAAAAAAACACTAAACACAAAACATGGGTACACAATCACAGGTGAACACATGAAAACGACTCACTACGGGTCCCACCTTTTGTGTACACAATATAGTAGCTATCTAAAATCGCCATCCTGTTTTATACCCCCTATTTAGACAACCAATTGAACAGGGGACCATGGGTTTTAGAAACTGTGTTACAAGATATTACCACTGACCTCATGACGTGTCTTAACAGAAACACATCAGGCTGGAGTGATATATTAAAAGTTTAGTTTAGAAAAAGAGCTAGAGTAATAGTGATAATAACTAATATAGTCACATTTGGTAGCATCAATGTGAAAGATTGTTTTGATTAGGTACCTTAACACTTTTATAACTCGTCCGCAAGTAAAGAGTATGAATTAACTGCGTATTGAACAAATTACAAATATTACCACAAATGAACTTACTGAAACTGGCCAAAGTATTCTCCAGATGTTATAAGTGCATCTTTTGAATTCTGAATGCTTCTTAAGGAACTTTTGTAGATCATTTTAAATATTAGTTATAATCTTATTACTCTTGAACATGTGCATATTATTTCGCTGAAATACATTTTATTTATTCTTCACTTAGATTGCAACTATCTATGAAATTACTTGTTAGCTAAGCTGGACGAGCAACACGAGGTGGATATTAGATAGTGAATAATTTCAAATGATATTGCATGTGCCTTAAGTCGATTGTGACAACTGTGCAGATTAGTTGTGATAAATGCAGGACAACCATTTCATGTGGGTAACAGCAAAGATTGTAGGTATTCATGATCATATGATGTTCTGCAGGAACAAACTCATTAAGATAACTTGAGAGATTCATGATAATCAAAATATGATTTTACATGACCAAAAATTTCATTTTTTTCGAGAAAATGTGGCCTACACTTTGGCGGACACATTATAACAAGCATGGATGAGTAAACGACATAATTTAAATGCCCGAGACGAATATCTCCTCGGTTTTTAAGATTAAAAAACCTGAATATGGATGATTAGAGCATATCATTCGAGGCATGTCGATTATATATATATGAAATGCAATTGGCTTCTCTCCATTAAGAATTGATGTAACCAAATGTCATTTGAGCAATTTAAAATGCATTTAATGTATGGACCGTTAATATCCATCAATCCGACAAGTAAAAAAATAACTGTAGCTGCTACCAAGCGAAAATCTGCATCATTTTCATGAATAAAGGACATAATTGCTTACAAAATGCTCCACCACAGAAAAATTAAAACCCATTATGAGGATAAAACTTATGTACTATGGATGATGAATATGAGTGATATTGGGATTGTAATACAATAATTAAATGACACAATAGCGACTGCAAAATGAGTGAACCACATAAATACGTAATGGTATGAAATATGAACATGATGACCGAAATCCAAAGTGTTAGTAACAGGTACTAACACGATTGAGTACTCGGAACTCACGCAAACTAGATACACCACAGACAAATTACCTGGGGTTATTAAATGAGCGGCTGGAATTGCTGCTATTGACAAACTTCGCTGCAGGATTAGGACGAAGTAAGAATGTTTGTCTCGAACCATGATGGTCATACTTCTCATCTGACTTGTCTTCACGCGAAGGACGTCTTAACAAAGCCTTTCTGGGAGGACTTTTGTACTTCTTTGAAGAGTTGATGCACCCATTGGTATTTTCCTCGTCCGATATACTAGGGGCACGAGCCTTCTTGGCACGAGATGACGACTCCTCTCTATGATGACGCTTCATACTAAGACAAAGATTTTAAAGACAGAGCGATTACCTCCATGATGTTTTCATTGTCCAATGCTTGAACACCTCATTATTGTCACCTAGAAAGCAAATCTTATTTCCTAACGAACAGTTGCATTCAGTAAACTTTCGGATGTAATAAGAATCCCTGTCTAATTTAGGGCAACATGACTACTGTGTTCTACTGAGCTCCGTTGTATTACTCAAACCTTAAATTTCAGTTCACTAAAATAATTTAATGTTTTTTTTCAGCGACTTTTTACCGTATACTTTGGGACGGATCCATCAGAGTCTGGATACATTAACCAAACGTATGAATCGTATGAGGCTAGAGAATCAATCGAGTTTAATTTCTTGAATTCGATTAATGTGTTGCCACTCAATGACTCCGTAATAGCCTAACTTATATAGTTATGGGTTAGCCTAATACATTTCATCAGAACCAAATTATTATTTATAATGTTTGCATTTACTCCCTTACTTTTTGTACCGAGAGAACAAGTATCAAGTTCAAGGAAATCAATTGGCTTATAGTATCTTGTGTAAAAGATATCGGAGATATTTGAGACATTTGGTATTTCGAGTGCTGAGAAATTTCCTAGTCTCAAAGTTAATATCACCTTTCACTTGCACCACCCTATTCCAAGGCGAATTCATGGATCTGACTGCCCATAAAGAGTTAAAAGCTTGTCTACAATTCAGTGTGTTGTATTATATCTCTTATTTCTATGTATCGTCCCTAAGAATTCAGTCTAACCATATGTTGACGATCTGACCTGTAGAACCCTGTCCGAACAGTAAAAAAATTAGGAAGAAAGACCAGGCTATTCTTCATATGTAGGATCACTTGATGATGTACAAAATATTATTGCAAACTCTAGCAATCCCTCCTTGGTTGCATAATTACTTCTGTTTACAATATACAGCTAACTTAACAAACATTATAGGAAAGTGTAAGTAGTAAGGACATCTGTTACAAACGTATCAGTGATAGTGAACTGGTCAAGGTCCCATAAACTGTCCAAAAGATGACCAAGTTCCAAAACAATAATGGATACAGAACATATTCATAGGTATCACCAAAGGCTTGTAGCGTGTCGAGTATGGATTGACCATGATCACTTCTACAGACCGATTACGTGCTTTTCACAGAAAATACAAGTTAATCCACACAAAAGAATGTATTTGCGGGCAATTTCGTGGTATCGAAATGATACCGAATACTTGCCAGAGAAGAGTGGCGAAATAACATAGAAAATAGAGCCAAAATGGTAGCAACACAAACAGAAAGTTTGCTCGCATAGTGCAGTAATTGAGACAAGGAGGTTCAATCAAACAATCACTGGTACAATTCGTTATGATAATGAATGTTTCTAATAAACCAATCAATTTCTCTTCATAAAAGTGGAGTCCGTACAAGCTTGTAAACTGATCAGAAAAATTGATCAACTTCTCGATTTATTGGTCAGAAAATCTGAAAACCAATGAGAAATGTATCTCGTAAAAAAAAGGAAATTCGTAATTGGCTATTCACCCAAAATGACTGGTAAATAGTCGGACAAGTTTTTGAGATGATACGTATACTCCCTGTCCTTTTTAATAGTATAAATTACCCATTGTTGACTTTTAACTGATGTACACTTTGAAGTTGGGCTGATTTGAGATTAGGTTGCCGAAAATTTTGTTATAACGCATTCCTAAATTGTGAATCGACAATTTGAGCGGTTCGGTCAACAAGATATGTCACTAGTTTGATGAAAATGTTTTACATCCGTGTGAGCAACTACGATTTGCCACAGATGGTAACGTCGGAACACACATTTCGGTGGGAATCGAAGTAGATCCTATCGTTAATCCACATTCACTATTAAATGAATACCGAAGGATGGTGAATTTCAGAGTAATAGTCCATGCCTTGAGAGGTTCCTTCAGTGGAAATATGGGTATGTCCTGCAAACAAAATACAAGTAGAAATAAACCGTAGGCTTGTTGGTCAGATAATCAGTCGAATTCCACTGTTTTTAACTGTGCTTCAAAACAAAACATAGTATGTTTTAGACATAATGTGAACGACCACCTTTTCTATGTACTGGATAGAATTTCAGGTCATAAATCCTTAGTTAGTTTGTGATTTCAGTGACATTAATTCTGCAATGAATAAGTAAGATAACTAAATATTCTCTGCAATCACATATATAAACATCATGCTTATTAAGCTTTCACTGTAGTGGATGTCCGGCATACTATTTTGAATGCAGATTTTTTGAGCCTATTGAATTTGCTAGTTGATGGCTCCCGAAGGAAACTCATTGATTTCTGCGCAAGGCTACAAGTTTGAGAATTTTTGCGACTACCGGCTACATGGCATCAAAACAAGTAACTCGCTGAAAGACGGTTTCAGTTTCACCATCGACTATCATTCAGGGACAATAAATCCTTCTCATCATAAGTATAGGGTAAAGGACTTGACATCAAATCACTTTATCACGAAGGGTAAATAGGCCAATACTCGTCCTCTTTGCCTATTTCAAGATAAAGTTGACCCTGACGAACCCGAATTTGGAGATGTCATCTAGTTCGAAATAAAAGGCCACTCAAATCCATATGGTAACAAAACAGGAACCATAGAAAATTAAACGACTTGACAATAACAGATAAATATCCAGTCCCACATATTTACTACCTCCCAATAACTTCCAGCTGGAGTCATTTTTCCTGAAGTTGATTTAGTACAATATCATTACTAAGTTCAAATGTCTCGAGATGTTCAGAAAACATTGATCATTACCCTCCTTGATAAAATTCGGAAATGAAAATGCTTCACAGACAATCCAACAGTTCATGGATGAATATCTCAGGCATTTACACCAACTGTTTCAAAATTTTGGAGTAATCATCAATCCACTGAATCGAACAAATAACACAAAAAAACCTAGAGATTTCAAGAGACAGTATCAGTACACAAGCGTGCAACCACTTGGGAGTAAAATTAAATCAATCACAAAATTTTTACGACCTAAATCAGTACACAATATTCGTTATTTCTTCGGAACAGTTAGATGTAATGCTTCCTGATGTTCACTTATTCCACAAACTTTAACAGATGCACTAAAATGAAGTGATAAGAATCCTACGTTATCTTCAAGAGCTAGTAATGTGTTCTCGAGATCCAAATCAGCAGTCCTTTTGACCTTATTATAATCACACTTGAGTCTACATTCTCCCGCCACAGTTTTCTCATCAAGACTTGCTACAGTTATCAGTAGGTGTGAGGCTAAAACAACAAGTGAATACTGAAGTTAAACAGGCCGCTTTTTTCGAGACAAATTAGAACCTTATCATAACCGGTACAGCACGTTCGTGAGAAATGTTGGTAGTGAAATATTTCTGTCACTTACTTCGGTGGACGGACGTTTTAGTATTCATATAATTGAGCCCTTAACATATGCTTTTAGTGCTAACAATCATGATCACTCTCCAGAGGTAACTGTGGTTCCATTAAAATGGACTGATCCTCAGGAATTAATAAAATCATGAGTAAACTACTGTGAACAATTTAACTGTCAAGTTAAAATCCAGTTCACAACAAAGATATTATAATAGCAGCTTCAGAGTCGAAAATTATCTGTGGCATTGCTGCTGATGTCAGCTAAGTTTTGCTCCAATGGGCCACAGGAGATTTCTGTTCACTCTCATTTCCTACTTCTTTAGTGGTAACCGAGTCGAGATTGACTATGATCACCACTAAATACTCATTACTATCCCGTCACCAATTTAAGAAATAAATCCAGGGTTGAGAATTCATTTGAAGAAATTAGGCGTTACATCGAGTAGCAATTTGTGAAAGATTACAGCAACGCAAAAAAGGACATTCCGCGCAAGTAAGTGTTTTCAGTGCAGTTAAACAAAACGAGTACAATAATAAATGCTTATTTTTCACCAATCGCGTTTTCTTCGTAGAAATGTTCCACTACACTTCATCCAGGGAAACATGATACCATCAAATTAATTTCGGAAACGTTTGTCTAGCCTAAATTCAACACGTGAAACGAAGAAAACAAAATTCTTTGAAAAGCAGTCACATACGGTTCACCGGCACGCAATCAAGAGGAAAAAATATCCAGTTTTTTAACTTTTTTTCAACATATATTGCTTCAATTAATACACTGGCCTAACCTTATCATATATTTTTACTTCAGTCAACAACTTTGCCAGGTGGCCAGTCGCAGGTACAACAAGCGACATCTCAGAAAACTCCGCACTTTAGAATTGGTTGATCCCTGACAAGTGTATCTTCAGCAACTGTCCCTGATGAATGTGTAGTGGCATTCTTTTACGAAGATAACACAATGGATCAAATATGAACACTTATTATCGTACTTGATTCTGACAATAATTGTTATACTGTGCTCCTTTTGTTTATCAATACTAAAGACTATCTCTTGCGCGCCGAGCGTGTCTTTCCCACTCCGCTCTTCTCCTCGCTTGTTGTCAGTCGCTTCTGTACCCTAGTCTCGACATTAGTTTGACATCACGAGGCTAGCGATAAATATACTTCTTCATTCAGAATAGTCTTTTCTCTGACTTCTGGATTATCGGGATTTACATTAGTAATTCCGCGAGGAAATATATTTATTGTGATTTACTATAATTGATGAGCAACAACTACGAACACGCATTAAATTTGGTGAGTCTGTCTTTTTTTCTATCCACTATATATATTATAACTACAATAGCGTTTTAAAATGGTAGATATACTGAAAAATGATGATCGTTTGGAAGACTCCCAAATACAGGTTCTCAATATTCGACCTGTCGTGTTTATTCTCCGCAACCCAGAGGTCTGGTTCGTGGCACTGAAATCTCAGCTTGGGATCCGCCACATCACCAACCAGCAGCAGATATTTGTCTACGTCCTCGAGTCTCTTCCTGGGGAACACATCGCTGCTGTCCGTGAGGTTATTCTCAACCCTACAGTTCCCGATGTCTACGATCGTCTCAAACAGGCGATTCTTAGACATTTCCTCCCAGCGAGGGAGGAACGGTTGAGAACATTATTAGCACATCACCACCTAAGTGATGATAAACCAAGCCACCACCCCACGCGCCTGAATTCTTTAGCAGGATGCACGACGGCGGACCCTATCATCGTCAAAGAATTGTGGCTTGAAGCTATGCCAGCTCACTTGCAGCCAACGATCACTGCCCTGCTCGAGAATCCGCCAATTAACAAGGCTGCCCTTATAGCAGATAAGATAATAGTGCGGATTAGCCCACGAGACAACTACATAGTTGCCTCTGCGTCACACGCGAACGTTGACCTCAAAGCTAATCACATTCAGGCTCAACGAGACCGGGTTTGCTGTATCCATATCCGTCTCAATTTTCGAGATCGTTGTTCTGTTCCTGAACCCCACGTCCCACGAGTCCGTTCTCGATCAAGAAAGACCTCAAGTGCTCACCCCAGCGGGCATATTCCAAGCCATGCCAAAAGGCGGCTTCGGAAGCAAGTACCGGTGGGTGTTGTTTTCACTAGACTTTTAGGTCTGGCGCCCATCATTGCCCAGTCCCTGCCCATACAAGACGGGAAACTTCCAAGCCGAAGATTAAATACAGCCGTACTCGTCGGCCCCTCACCTCAGGTCGGCTGCACGACATCCGCACTAACGCTAGGTACCTCGTTGACACAGGTGCCCAAGTTTCTGTCGTACCACTTGGTAGCAGCAAATCTCAACGTCTGACGCTTCGTCTACGCGCTGAGAATGGCTCTGTCATTCCTATCTATGATACACGACAGAAGATGGTCAACCCGAGCAACCCCGACGGTAGTATCTATGACGTTCATCATTGCTGATGTTCACACAGCTATACTCGGAATCGATTCACGTAGGCTGCAGCTAATCGATGTTTCGTCGAACAGCAAATTCATGGGCTTTCGAGTTCAAACAGGTGCGTACCGTGTAACAGGGGTATTTTATTCGCGTGATGACAATTTCCACGCTTTACTCGAAAAATTTCTCCAGCTAACTAAACCACTCGAGGATAATCTATCGGTGACTCACCATGTGGTAAACCACATCGTCAACCGTGGACCACCAGTCACGGCAAGACCTCTCCGACTGGCACCGGACAAATTAGCTTTCGCTGAATGTGAGTTTGAGAATTTACTGGCTCCAGGTATTATTCGTTCTTCTCACAGTCCTTGGGCCTCACCACTCCACTTGGTTCGCAAAAAGGATGCGATAAGTTCGCGACCATGTGTCGACTACCTAGCAATAAACGCAGCTACATGTTTCGATTGCTATCCCATCCCCCCATACACGACATCACGGCATCACTCAAGGGCACGACGGTCTATTCTAAGACTGATCTTGTAGGAGCATATCATCAGATCCCAGCCACTCTTGAAGATATTGATAAAACTGCTATCACGACGCCTTTCGGTCTGTTTGAGTTCCTATGAATGCCATTTGGATTATGGAATGCTTCTCAAACTTTCCATAGGTTTATCGATAGCATAGTACGAGACTTTGTAGTACGAGATTTTGTTTACGTCATTGCTGATGACCAGCTAATCGCATCATCAAACGTAGATGAACATCATCAACATCCTACACTTATTCCAACGCCTTTCGGATAATGAAATAGTAGTTAACCCAAACAAGTGTGCACTGGGCGTGGAAGAAATAAAATTCTTGGTTCACATCATTAAGCATGAGGGTATTATACCTTGTGAAGACAAAGTACGTACAAACATGGAGTACACTGTACCGTCCTCACTCAAGGAACTGAAGGCTTTTCTCGATCTGGTCAACTTCTACCGACGTATTATTCCTCACGCAGCAGAACAGTTACTACCATTAACCAACTTCACGGCAATCCACGTAGATTAGGATCAACCGATGCCACGTGTACTCTATTTTTAGATATAAAAAAAGCTTTAGTTGAAGTCACGCTTCTCGCCCATCCTGATCCATCAGCCTGGCTTAGTGAGGCGGCTGATGCATCCGATTTTGCTATAGGAGCCGTTATACAACAGAACATCTGTAGAGGTTGGCAACTTCTCGAATTTTTCTCACGACGCCTTACTCCCACGGAGACGAGATATAGCGGTTTTGGCCGCGAACTGCTAGCAGCCGACTGTGCCATCAAACATTTCCGTCACTCAGTAGAAGGTCGTAACTTCATCCTTTTCACCGACCATAAGCCTCTAGTGTATGCTCTTCATACCAAGTCTGATCGCTACTCACTACCAGAGTGCAAACATTTGGACTACATATCTCAGTTCACGACAGACCTTTGTCATATTAAAGGAGAGTCGAAACTGTTGCTGACGCTCTGTCACGTATTCAAGTGAATGCAGTTATTTTACCTGTGAAATTCCTCCCTTATTATACTTATTCCAAATGTACCTTTAAACCGACAAGCTGTGTTCTTCTGTACCGGTCCACAAAGGGAAAATCAATGAAACTGACTGTCGAAGACACATTGCATTTGTCCTTCTTCTCCCAGTAGTATGGCATGCTGCAGAGGCTTCGAAACCACCTGTAAAGTCAAAATCTGAAAAGCAACCGAACTAAGCAGGAAGTTTAGACTTAAATACATGGCGATACTTGCTGAAGACATTTAGTGATGTGTTTACAGAAAGCTTCATTCTCATAAACCGTTATTTTCCGGCCAAATCTTCGTTTGGAAATTCAAAACAAAAAAGGTTTTCGAAACATATTCTCCTCTCCGGTGTTCTATAAAGGCAAGTGAACCGACTTGACTGCGGTAATAAGATTTGTGATGTGCAACTGTTTGGTTTTGACATTGGTAGAATCTTCGTTATACGATTAGAATTAGCTATTGATTTGTTGGTGGGTAAGAGAGGAAGGGGTACATTGAAGTACAGTTTCATACCCCAAAATTGATTTATGTTGGCGAACCGTCCTTCCTTCATACTAGCCACAGAAATCGGCGGTGGCTTGAATTCTTCCACACAGTACCCCACGTTATTTCGCGCAGTAGGTAGTATGCCGTAATTTGGTGATAATGATATCTCGTTTCTCTCATATTAATTGGTTTTATATTACTTAATTTATATAACTAAACTAGAAGTTTGTTCATCTGAGCTTATGTCAGTCTATTTTACACCCCATCTCCTTACAAGAGACTAATCTTTTAGATCGATGACAGAAATAAGCAACTAAATGAATGCTAGGTTAACGAATAAACCTATAAAAGACAGACTCAAATACTTTTTGTAATTCCAACGGGTTATAGAAGAGTCAGAGGTGATCTAACAATAGCATGAAACATTAATTACGCCGAATCGTCCCAACACGAGTATCTTGTCAGTTCATCACCACCACTCCTCTCGAGGTGACCCTCGGAAAATTGTACATAAGAAACCAAATACTTAGGTACGCGCCTACTTTCTCCTATTAACAGATCCCCCTACTTGTCTGATGCATTTTTTACGCGCCCCTATTTTCTGGGTATTCCCCCTAAGGTTTGCGTTAAGACAGCTTAGGTAAGTATTTTAGAGGATGCGAAGGAGCGTTTAGAATACTATGGCTTATTAGGTCACCTCTGGGACGCCTATACTCTTAAGAGTTGAGATTCAGTGACTTGAGGCGCTCTTTTGCAGGTCTTCACAAGTCCTCGGACTGATTTTGTGTTTCGCCTTAGGATAAATCCTATTGAATTCTTGTCCTTTCAGAATGAGTGAAAAACGATCTCCATACTCTACATAAAGCCGTCAAAGAGTAGGTGGAACGTCCTCCCATTAAACTGGCCAAAAATGCACTTTAACATCAATAGTGCGAGGTTCGCTCGAAAGGTATTTTTGTAACAGTTAGCCTAAGATTTAGACCATAGTGTACCAAGTTTCTTAGGCCTTTTACCTTACCTCGGACGCCTCTACACGAGAGTTACCTAAACTGTTTACATAGTCCACAACATGTTTCAAATGGATCATATCGCAATTTGAAGTGTTAAAAGTAAGTCTGTTGTCATTCGCCCAAGTTTAAAGTTGAGTACGATCCTCCTGAAGGACCAACTTATCGTCTTGGCTACACACCTCTCTAAAGTTTAACATCGTCAGCGAAAAGTAATAGCCGTAATGATACTTGTTGAGGAAGGTCATTTATATAAGTTAGGAAAAGTGGTCGTAGTACTGAACCCTGAGGGACTCCACTAGAGCATTCTGTAGCCTGAAACAAAGTTGACCCTAACATTAAAAGTTGGTTATTTAGATATGAAGTTAACCAACCTTTTTAACGTGGCTTGATATCTAATAGTTTGAGCTTCTTGATGAAACAGATTTAATTGACCTCATCAAAAGCTTTTGAGAATTCAAGATATATCATATCAGCTTTCTTTTTGTTAACAATAATGGTTGTCCATTGCAGTCAGCAGGTCGATTGCGTAGGACTACTCCCTCCCAAAACCATGTTGCTGGGAAGGAAAATTTATAGATAATACATAATTGGATGGACCGTTATGTACTAAAGACTCCATAACTTTTGATGATATTGAAAGCTCATTGAATCGTTCTTCCTTAAAAATTGTGGTGATATACATCAGCTTCCGACTGTTCGGAACCATAACTTCACTTAGCAAACGTGAAAACACCACAATAGGCGGTGTTGCTAAGATTCAAGCCACTTTCAGAATAACATTGAGCCTTGTTCGAGTCAGAACATCATGAGAATCGAGAAATATAAAGCAATCTTGAAACTTAAGATTTGAGGGGAGATAAAGATTGCATACATGTAGCATGTCCGAGACATGCAACCCAGTGTCTTAAACAATCCAAGATAATACCTTGAACCCCAACTAAATATTCCACATCTAGCAACAGAAATCAAACCGATAGTCAATATCTTCGTGGAGTGAAGCCACTCTTTGTTTTTGCCCTACACCACTCAACATTAGGCGTTGAGGGCAAACTGTAGCTTGATATACATGACGACCCATTTCATTTAAAAGTCTTCGAATATAACTATTTTTAAGTTAACGCATCGGCAGCAAATTAGCATTCATCTAACAATCGACTGACAGAAAACACCCAGAACCTTCGTTCGTAAATTGTTTGTAGAATTCCTCACATTATAAAAAATCCTCAACATAGTACTCTGTTAGTTAAAGCTTACACACTTGCCAACCGAAGACTTAGATTTAGTTAAGGCAAATGTAAATAAAATATTGATATACTCAATAGCGGCATATTAATAAATCGAAAAGAGACAGCTTTTCCCTTGTAGAACATCTAAAGCCATATCTTCGAGGATTTTACCAAAGCCCTGCACATTCCTTTATTTCGTAGCATTATTTCTTAAGTGTTAAGTATGAGTAACACATCTTTATCAATAGTGGTTAGTATTTCTTCACGTACAGTAAATAACCGCTTGTAAACCCTTTGAGCCTACTGCCGTTCGCAAGTCAGAATAAAGGATGAGGATTGGGGTTGGCGACCCCATCCCACAAAAAACTAACTCGCTAAAAAACGCTAACAACAAAAAATAATTCAAACCATATAAACTCTGCTCTAGGAGTTAGGCCTTCATTTAGAAGGGTTATGACGTCTCGTGATGAAAGCAAGTTCCTTCGGAAGTCACGAGACCGATGCTCCTGACAACCAAAACTGTTCCACGATGTGGGCAGTCGGAAAGTAACATCCGCCCTCATACCCATGAAAGCACACGAGACCGAATCGTTCACAATCAAATCCTTTCTACACCTAATAACTCTTACCTCATCGACCAACCATTCGATCGTTTGTTACCTCGCGCCGCCGACACAAACGGTTTAAGCTCAAGAAACTTTATTCCTGGTCTCCTGAAACGTACTAAATTACATATTGGAAATTTTAATGTTCGAACCTTGTGACTGACGAAATCTCAGCTCGGATACAGAAGGCTCGATTGGCTTTTGCCAACCTATGTCACTTATGGCGCAGGCGAAATATCCGCTTGTTAACCAAAGGACGAGTGTACTGTTCAGCAGTTCGCTCCGTCCTACTGTACGGATGCGAAACATGGCCGTTAAGAGTAGAGGACATTCGTAGGTTACTAGTTTCCGATCATAAGTGTCTTTGAAGCATTGCTCGTGTATCATGGGACAACCGAGTAAGCAATGCTGTCGTTAGGAAAAGACTACAACGTAAGAACGGCAAATCAATAGATGAAGTAGTGAAACTTCATCAGTTGAGGTGGTTGGGACATGTGTCACGCATGGCTAACCACCGACTGCCGCGACGAGCTATGTTTTTCGATGTGTAGGAGTAGACTGGAAGAAAGCTAGGGGCGGCCAGACCAAAACTGACAAGTGGACTGAGTCATGTTGGTAGATGTAGACTACCTGGTTGGGGTCCGCGAGACGATGGTCACCGATGGTTAGAGACCTTGAACGACATGGCTCAGAATCGTTTGCAATGGCGCAGGCGCATCTACTCTTTGTGTTCTGTGAAATTCTAAGCTTCTGCATTATTCATAATCTCTACCTTTCTCCTTCTATATTTATCTTACTGAATTATACTTCTCGAATCATATCTTCGCTGCCTAATCTTCTCCATTACTGCTTATACTTCTACTATCGCTATCACTGTTGGATTTGAACTGACAGTTGCGTCTCTGTGCTGATGGGGCATGACAACCTGAACTGATGTACGTACGTACGAAGTTCTGCGTTGTGTCTGTCTGTCTGTCGAACCTTGTGCCAAATAGGGCGACAAGCTTCATTAGCTAGAATTCTGGGATCCCGAGTGATCGATTTATGTTACGCACATACAAGATCCGAGTAAAATCACCGATTTCGTTTCAACTTGTGCAGATAGAGAAACAACACAGTTTACGCTTCGTGTTTCAGGTAGTCCTGATGCTGTTTCCCATGTCCTCGATGGCGTAGGCATAGTATTAAGTTCTAAGGCAGAAGTGGCTCTCCTAGACTGGATCCCGGTAGATAGTCGCTTATGTGCTGTCCAACTATACGCGACAGTAAGGACTCGGAAAGATAGTAAAACTCATTGTTGCCTCTCCGTCATATCTGCCTACACTCCCACTGACTGCATTTCAGACGAGGTTAAAGATGAGTTTTACAGAAAGCTTTCGGACCTCCTCCAAAAAGTTAATCGTTCTGATATAGTAATAATGGCTGGTAACTTTAATGCTCAAGTAGGTAGACTAGGTGGAAAAGAAAGACACCTGGGTGGATCTTATGGTCTCGCAGCTCAGAGAACAGACAATGGCGACCGTCTGCTGCAGATATGCTCAGATAACCGCCTATTTCTAGCAAACACTAGCTTTAGACATAAGGAAAAAGCATCTGTTGACCTGGCGACCCCCGAAGTCGTCCCAACGTTTGACTCAATTAGATCACATCGTCATCAGCCACCGATGGAGGGGTTCGATAGAAGACTGTCGCTCGTTGTGGGGCACATGTTTAGATTCAGATCATGCCCTAGTGCGAGCGCGTATTTGTTTGCGTCTCACTGGACTTAGGAAAAAATATCGCAAGTAAACCTCTACGGACACTACTTAATGATAATAAGTCTAAGAATTTATTTCAGGAACAGCTAGAAAAACAGTTAGACAGTCATGTAGTAAGTGATGCCCACCCTGAGGCAGGTTGGAATGATATCAAAAAAGTTGTGGAAACAGGAGTGATATCTGCTAGTAAGGTAAACCATAGGGCTAGGGAGAAGCCGTGGATTTCAGTAGCATCTACGGAACTGATGGATGCTCGAAAGTTCATCCTACCTGGCTCGCAGTGCGATGAGGAGCAGAAACAGTTTAGGCGCAGGCTGATAAAAAGCCTACTGAATGATCGCCAACAGTGGTGAGTAGCGAATGCAAGGGTGATAGAAAAGGCAACGGCGATAGGTAACAGTAGACAACTATTCAGACTCATCAAGGAATCCGAATGTGAGACTTTCGGAAAAGGGTGGTCTTATTATTCATTCTCAATCCAGGAGATTGGATCGATGAGTAGAACACTTTAGTAATCAGTTCAACTGGTCTTCAGCCATACTTCGGTTGCCCACGATCTCCAGTCAACCTGAATGGCAAATCGACGTAAGTTGTCCGACTCTCTATGATGTTGAGAAAGCGATAGGAAATCTGAAGCAAGGGAGAGCAGTGGGTCCTGATAGATTGACTGAGATTTAACGTAGAATCTGGGAACTGGACGTAATCCCATCTGACTGGTCTCAATCACTGATTGTCCCAGTCTATAAGAAAGGACAAAAGTCCTCTTGCGACAATCACAGGGGAATCAGTCTAACTAATATGGTTTCTAAATTGTTAGCCTCGATTATACTTAGACGCCTAACTAGAGTTCGTGAAAAGCAGACTAGAGAAAACCAGGCTGGTTTTCGACATGGACGTGGTTGTATAGACCACATCTTCACACTACGACAGGTCCTGGAACACAGACACACAAAAGCCAATCGAACCTTCTTATCCGTGCTGAGATTTCGTCAGTCACCAGGCCATCACCACTGATGAGACTCTCAAGATACGTGAAGCGGTCTACACGTTCGACTACTTTACTCCCTATCACTAGTTCCGGTAAAGTCGCAAGCCCATCCTGAAGAAACATTTCGCATTTTGAGAGTGAGAACCGCATCTCGAACATGCTTGCTTCCCACCATTTTCCAAAATAGTCTCACTTACACTAGGATTTCTAATACCAGTTTCCTTGATAAGTCGGAAAAGTTGTCTACTGTTACCTATCGCCGCTGCCTTTTCCATCGCCTGTGCTTTCGCCACCCACCGCTGTTCACAGTCTTTGCGCAGGCTTTTTATCAGCCTGCGCCTAAGCTGATTTCGTTCTTCATCATGTTCAGAGCCAGGTGGGATGAGTTTTCGGGCATCCATCAGATCGGTGGATGCTACTGAGATCCACGGCTTCATTCTAACCTTATGGTCAACCTTACTAGCAGATATCACTCCTGTTTCCACAGCCTTTTTGATATCATTCCAACCTGCCTCCGGATGCGAATCGCTTACATGGTCGCCTGACTGTGTTTCTAGTTGTTCCTGAAATATATTCTTCGCCTTATTATCATTAAGTAAAACCCTAAGAGGCTTCCTTACAGTGTCTTTCTTACGCCCAGTAAGCCTTAAACAGATACGCGCTCGCACTAGGGCATGATCTGAATCTAAACATGTGCCCCACAACGAGCGACAGTCTTCTATCGAACCCCTCCATCGGTGGCTGATGACGATGTGATCTAATTGAGTCAAACGTTGGGACGACTTCGGGGGTCGCCAGGTCAACAGATGCTTTTTCCTTATGTCTAAAGCTAGTGTTTGCTAGAAATAGGCGGTTATCTGAGCATATCTGCAGCAGACGGTCGCCATTGTCTGTTCTCTGAGCTGAGAGACCATAAGATCCACCCAGGTGTCTTTCTTTTCCACCTAGTCTACCTACTTGAGCATTAAAGTTACCAGCCATTATTACTATATCAGAACGATTAACTTTTTGGAGGAGGTCCGAAAGCTTTCTGTAAAACTCATCTTTAACCTCGTCTGAAATGCAGTCAGTGGGAGTGTAGGCAGATATGACGGAGAGGCAACAATGAGTTTTACTATCTTTCCGAGTCCTTACTGTCGCGTATAGTTGGACAGCACATAAGCGACTATCTACCGGGATCCAGTCAAGGAGAGATTGTTCAGCTCTACGACTCAATGCTATACCTACGCCAGCAAGACCTCTGGAAGCAGCATCAGGGCTTCCAGATACGCGAAGAGTAAATCGAGCTGCTTCTTTATTCTGACAAGGTGAAATCAGATTAATAATTTTACTCGGATCCTGTATGCGCGTTTCCGAGACGCAGCATACATCGATGGCACGAGATTCCAATGTCTTAGCAAATGATGCCTGTTGCCCTATTTAACACAATGTCCGTGCATTAAAAGCTCCAACATGTAGTCTAGAACGGGGTATCAAGAGACCAGGAATGACGCTTCGTGAACTCGCATCGTTTGCATTAGCGGTGCAGTGAGAAAAGGGACTGTGAGTAGAGTTAGTTGTGAAGAGAAGAGAGGTATATGTGAGTGTAGGAAGGATTTGATTTCGACCAATTAGGTCTCTCGTGCTGTTACGGGTATGAGGGCGGTTATCACTTCCCGGCTGCCCACACCGTGGAAGATTGATGTATTCTACTGACACCCTATTACGCCAACTGCAACCGATTGTCCTTAATAGCCAGGTTTGTTTGTCTGCTTATACACTTACTCTTTAAGGTCATAAAACCACCCAAGGCAATGGTTGATGCCAGTTGACAGGAGATCATGGACCTATATTCTGTAGTATCTGGCATTTGTCGGCAGGGTGTACTATAATTTTGAAGGAACTGATGCTCCCTGGCGGGTCTAATCCCGCCACAGCCATTCAAGATGCGGTTGACCCACAGGACAGATGTATCTACAACGGATTAATTAATGAATAATGGATAATAGCTTGTATATCAAGTTCTTAGTGCTGGTCGAATTCTATCGATCAGGTTGCAGCTTAGTTTAGTAGTGTTATTTAACTCATAATTTGATGTGACTTTGTTTTCTGATTGTATGAAATGATTCACTTTTACAAACTTCTGAATTTGATTATTCATTAGTAAATTTGATGTCTTTCGAAAGTAACTGGAACGAAAAAGCTGCTTCTCAACTACAAAACAAAACTCTAAAAACAGTTTCAGCTCTACAAAATTTTATTCAAAATATTATAAAAACATCGCATTCTGCTGATCTTCTTTCTTCTGCTATCAGTCATACCGTTAATCAGGATTCTGTTATAACTTCAACATCCAATAAGGTCACTCAGCTTATTTACACCATTGACCGTCTGTCCGATCAAGAGAATCTTCTTCGAACACGTTTGGACTTGCTTTAGTATAGCATTCTACTTTTTTTTCTATAAAATGCCTATTGGGACTTTACCAAACATTCTAATAACGGGTACACCTGGTACCGGTAAAACAACCATATCTAAAGAAGTATCTGAACGCAGTTCATTAAATTACATAAGCATCAATGACGTTGCCAAGGAAGGAGAGCTATATGATGGATTTGATGAAGCTAATCAATGTCATATCCTTGATGAAGACAGAGTTGTGGATGAATTAGAAGATGCTATGTCATCAGGTGGTCAGGTGTGTTTCTATTTATTTGTCATATTTACTGCCTTGTAGATTGTTGACTATCATTCCTGTGAATTCTTTCCTGAGCGGTGGTTTGATGCCGTATTTGTGTTGAGAACGGACAATACAATTCTCTATCCTCGTCTTACTTCTCGTAATTACCCTAATGAAAAGGTTTCAGACCTTATTCATTGTGAAATTGTTCAGGTTTGTTTTACATTTACTTCGCCTTGATATCTTAAATTGAACATTCACTTACGATACCTAATCTGTAATCGTAATTATTCCGAGCAACTTAGATAAGTAAGTTCACAATTAGGTCGTTTGATAGCCAGATTGTGATAAGTCTAATTGTGGGGACGATATCAATGATCTGATATGTCAGTATTGTATGGTGTTCATTAATAAAATTCATTTCTTTCAACCTGAGGAGTCGGACACAGTTCATGATTAAAACATAATCACCCAAATTATATAAAAAGAGCTTTATTGATATCTAACTATTCCTTGGGTCTAAACCATTTTTAGTCGTTACGAGCTGATTATCTGAAAATAAGTTAAAATAAGGGGATGCGTAATCGAAAGATTTTTGCGTCCATTTTCAGTATTGCTAAACATGTACAAGTAGTCAAAACATGCTGTATGCCATCACCTAGGCGGTAGTGCCTCTAAAAAATTTGAAAGGAAATTTCGTACCAACTTCCAAATCACTAAATTCTCATTTGTACAAATTAATTACTTAGTTCCATACGTGATATTTAGTGATCGTTTAGTCATTGCTTCTTATAATATGCTGATGGTCTGTTGGATTCGACAATCTGACTCTAGCAGCTCAAAAGTAGCTGTGTCACCTTTGTAGAGTTTTTTGATTTATGACAAATCTCTCTAGTCTCTAGATTTCCTATTTTTAAGGATTAGACTACCTAAAGAAAGGTTTCACTTCTGTGAAACTCCTAAAGCAAAATTATTGATCTCAAAAGAAAATTTTTTTTGGTTTTTTCAACCATATTGAAGTTCATAGCGCTAAATGACTATAAAATTGTCCTCATTTCTGCTTCGTTGACGTAATAGCTCTCACTGGTTGGAAATTTCCACATAGCTTCTGTATAATAATGTTACAACTACGTAGATATTTCTCATATTAGTGTAAGTGAAGTCCTTTCCTGTATAAAATCTATCATTCTAAGTCTTCAAATTGTCACTTATTCTAAGTTTTACTCAAGTCTAACAGATGAACACAGTAGTATTAAGTTGTACAGTACGCTGAAGCAACTCTCAAAATTTACTGTATATTGTTTGAAAAACGATTATGTAATGACATAATTTTATCATTTCTAAGATCTCTTATAAGAAAGTTTTTGCAAAACCATTTAACATGATATAAAATAATAATATAAACTGTACTGGCTAGTTGTAGAATTCCCCCCTCAAATAAAAGTCAATATCCTCTGATCCTTGTGTAAAATTATTGATATGCACCGTCATTCATTTCCAATGATCTAATAATTAATATCGTTAGTAGCAAAAGTAATTATTAAAATATTTTAGTTTTTCCTGTCTTAGTATATATACTTTTATTGTATATTCTTTTGAATATAATCCTTTAGGTTGTTCTCGACGAAGCTCGTGAGTCGTATAGTACAGACATAGTACATGAATTAATTAATAATACTCCTGAAGATTTAGAAAACAATATTTCCCAAATCTGTGAATGGATCAAGCAGTGGCGTAATAAATCATCTTAAATCTTTTCTCTTATTTAAATGTTTCAAATTAAACTGTATGAAAAAATAATTGATGAGAAATGCATAAATATCCTATTTTTTAAATTTTCTCATTTGTATAAAAATTATCAACTATTGAAAAAAACCATGTATATTTGTGTTTTTCCTTTTAAAGCAAGTATATATGTAAATAATTTATTCTGAAATAAATATTTTTCCAGGTGTTCTAGTATAAATTATAAATGTCAAGGCCACATTTTCAATCTTAATCAACACTTAGCCGGGCATAATCGCTCATTGATCCAAGTTACCATGTCACATACGTATTCTTGTTTATACCCCTACTGTCAGCAGTTAGATATACTTAAAAGAAGAGTTTCACAGGAAGTCATGTACTCTCGAAAAACCAACCTTCCAGACGTTATAAGCGTAGAAGTGCAGTTTTAATCCCTAAGCATTTAGTCTAAAGGTCAAAAACACTTACATGAGTCTTTGTGTGTCCCAGATCACTGTGGCCGTATGCTCCAACTACGCCCAAACAACCGTTTATTCTCCAAGAGAGACATCATTTAATATGGAGACCCAAAATCTGTCTGACGTTAAGAATAAATAGACCACATCGTATATTTCAGGAATAACTAGAAAAGCATCTAGTCAAACACCAAAGTTATGTTCACCACCATATGAATTGGCATGATATCTACCACAAACTCGAACCGAAAGATTAGGAAGAATCTCTGAGTTTCAGTAACGTCTACTAAATTTCTAGATGCTTAGAAAAATCTTATCAGTGTTAAAACAATGACAGCTTGGATGTATACTAATAAAAAACCAATGCAACAATTGTGAGTGGTGGTAGGGAGCGGGAGCAAAAGAGATGAAAATGACTGTTACTGAGAAGCAATAGGTAGCTTTTTATATTTATCGAAGAAACGTTTTCAAAATCCGGGATTCGATGAGACTATGGGGGAATAATGAACCACTCAGCCCAGGAAATTGTAAAGATAGGGCAAACACTTCGAATTACAGTTTAAATGGCCTTCAACTACCACCGAGTTGACTTTGTTACCGAAGCTATATCTTATCTATGCCGAGAGCTGGCACTAGACCCCGATGAATTAACCACCGTAATCTTCAAGGGTAATAGTCCATTTCTAGCTGAGATATTAGCTAAAGTATAGGGACTGAACGCAAACCTATATGGTTGATTTCAGTAGCTGGTCTTTCCTGTATATAAGTAAGGAGAAGAACCCTCTTGTGACATCCACAGAGGAATTAGATGGACTAATGTAGTTTTCAAAATAGTAGGATTGTTGATCATCCGACCTTTGACTAGGACTCGTGAAAAACAGACCAATGGGAAGCAGTATTCTTTCAAGCCTGGATGCATATGTACAGGCCAGATATTTGTTTTCCATCAGGTTCTGAAACAGATATACGTGTCAACTTCCAACCATAATTGCATTCTTGACCATAAGGTAGAGTTAATTTTGTGGATCAACAGGTTTGATGGTTTAATCTTCCGTTAAAATGCGCACCACAAGTACATCAACGTCGTGCGGGCTCCATTGGGACACATTCTACCCTTATAATCACAGCATATGAAGAGTCATGGTTGATGGCCTAACGTAATGTTCGTCAGAGATGTCCATCTTCGTTATTATTTTATAGCTTTACCATTGATACTTCATAAGCAACGCTCTCATTGTCTGACTTCTCAGGCGTTGATCTATTCACTTGCTGACTTAGAATACGCAGATGAGATAATACTGTTTGGTGAACAGCCGGAAAAAAATACAAGAATGTCTAGGATGCGTTTTCTTCTCTTTAAATGTAAAATACTTCAGGCCTGGTGTGTATCAACTCCTAAACTGATGACACGATGTCAAACGGTTGAGTTTGTCAACCACTTCACTGACCTTGGAACTCATCAGCCCAGGTGGTTTGGTTAATGACCAAAGTTAGACCGACTTTCGCCAACTTTGCTTGTGTTGTACACAACCAACCAGAAGACGAGTATACTGCACAACAATTAGCTGTCTTGCTGCACAGCTATAAACCTTGGACTTTAGAAATCACGGATACTAATAGGTTACTAGTATTTGGTCATAGGTGCCTTCAAATCTCTGGTAATGTATGCTAGGATCACCAAGTAAGCGATTCTGAGTACTAAGTAAAGATGAAAAATCAGTTAGTCAGGTAATGAACGTTTACTGGCTGATATGGTTACATATACCGAACCAACGCTTACTTCGATAAGCAATCTTTGCTAATGTGGTAAAAAGAAGAAAGTTATTACTGTCCAAACTTGCCATATCAACCGCTAATCGTGGTTACTTCTCTGACATCAACCTTATAATCGATAAAGATTCATAAACACCTGAATTTTCTATTTATCACTAACTAAAGCAAGGATGCCTCCCAATAAGATTTCATTCATTCTAACTACCTTTCCGAAATTCTTTATTGCGCGAATTTCCGTTTCGAGTCCCTACTCCGAAAACTACTGAATTTCTATTTCTCAATTGTTTATCAATCGAGCATGCATTAACAGATAGCCGTACTCAAAATGAATCTCTTGCGAATAAGAATATACTCTAGCAGTTAATAGTGGATGCCAGTAATCACTCATTTCTCAGCAGACTACTAAGCATGTGAACTAATTGAGCCACTGACCAAATCAAGACTGACTAGTCCATTCACTCCTTGAAAAATGAGTATATCTAAAATACTAAAAGTTTCTTCCTATTTTTACATGAAGGCTAATTTACTTTGTACTATGTTCAGTTATTTTGTAAGACAAAGCACTTGGAAAATCGTTTCATGCTTCTATAACATTAACCATATATCTTTTATAAAAATAGATAGTTTCAGGTAAAAATTATAACTATCATTTTATGCTTTGCATAGCCTGATGCCGTATTTTATCTGAATTTATGTGTTACGATTAAAATAGAAAGATGGTCTACAGTAATATTTATGAATTTGTCTGAAGTTCGAGAAAACAATTATTTGAGATACCAATAGTCTTTATTTATTATTGACCGAAGAATTCAAATCAAAATAACACAATATTAACATCAATTAAGTAACTAAATATTCTGGATATTTGTTTTGATCTGTATGAACAAAAATTCACAAAAATAGTAAGTTTTAAGCGACTAAATTCCTCTTAATTAGTAATGACTTTTATATCTAAAAATGTCACTTTCCCATTCAAATATTCCTTTGAAATTAAAATTGGTCACAAATTGTCTTTCAACGTTAAAGATAAGTAATATTTTATTATTTAAATTGGCTTATCCATAAAAATTATTCAGGATTTCTAAATAAGATTGTTTTATTATTCCTTCGAAATTTTAAAATGTTAAGAAAATAACATACTTTGATCCAAAAAGCTATGGGATTGATAAATTTATAATGATTTAAAGATGTTGCAACAATTGTTCAGAGAAATGCTCAATCTGACCTCTGATTGTCAGTTTCAATATTTATAGCAAAAAGGCATAAAAATTAAAATAAAGTGAGGTTACTTCATTATCATGAAGCTGATAAATTCATCACCATGGTATTTTAAATGTTGAACCATTCAAAGCCTTTGATCCATTAAACACTACATTTTCTCACACCAGACTACCAACTTTTTTCTGTTGTATTGTAGTTACTAAAATAGCCAAATGCCATACCATTATTGAAAACTCAGAACCAAGTTATTGATTGAACTTAGAGTTTATGTAAATAGTATGCGATACAATATATCGCATTACATTACCAGCTTTAAACTGTATATTCGCATGACGATTCCGACCCAATGATCGGGTTAAGCGTAAAGTCGCGAAAAGAAAATATGAAGTTTGCCTTATTGTCAGACACTTAAGAAAATTGAAATAAACAATTTACAAATTTTAAATAATCAAAAATCATAGCTATAATTATGATCTCAATAGGACTTTGAGAGAGATTTTATAACCGTCAATCAAATCAATGATAACATAAAACCACGTAATGAAAAATGAAAAAACCACACAGGATTGTGTCTAACAGGAAAATCAAGTGTTATTTTGAAAATAGACGAATCATTAAAATTAAGAAAACACAGAGTAATAACGTATAAAATTGAGAATAAGTACTATGGTAATTTATTAATCTGAAACAACAAAATATGCATATAAATTACCACGACGATTGATTATATCCACATCGCTAACCATAATGTACAAACTCTATAAACTCGTGAATATAACTTGAACTACTTATCAATAGTAAGTAGTATACGTCGAATGGGCAGAAGTTAGTTTGAAGCTATGGTTGCAATAAGACAACAAACGAGTATAGAAAACAATAAATATCAGTCTGATAAAGAAATAGTATGCAAATTTCCGGTCTACTCATTAATTGTCGATATCGACATGGGTTTTGTCATTTCAAGCCAACTTTAGAAAACGTTTCTACCAGACAACTGTAACCTGATTTATATGTTCAAAAAGAGAGGTTGTTTTTGATCTTTCTTTACATTGAAGATATATGTTCCTGAATTAGGCTATCAGATTTCGTTCAAATCATTTTTAACTAATTACAACATGAAATCTTTATTTTGACGGCATCCTAAATCAGTAGTTTTATTTTAATTAACTAAGCTTTACTACTTGGATTCGTTACGTAACCACCTGTTTCTAACCCTTTGGACTACTGCTATGTAATTTAAATCCAATTTATAACTATAATTTTGGATATCAAAGGTTGTAAGTAGCTGACGAGCATTTTATCCTAAATATTCTTCATAGGCAGATTTAGACAGATTAGTAGTTGTGACTGATTTGTTCAGTGGAATGATTAGTTTCAGTACTAAACACAGATGGAAAAACCTAAACAACTTGAGTAAATGAGTTAGAATTTACCATACTGAACACACTTGCGACTTTGTGGAGTTGGTAAGTAAATGGACAATGTAGTGATATTCGAAGCCAACAATACAAAGTTCGAGTACCAGAATAAACATCAAACCTGTGACACAGGTACACCCAATATAAAACTTTTCTATTTCTATTGATCAGCTTGACATAGAGTTGATTGTGATTATAGGCGTTTAAATTCCATGTTACATCAAAATGCATCTGTAAGTTTGACTTGCTAATGATTCAGTTCTTATTGGAGAGTATTCTTCTGTGAATACATAGTTTACTCTTTGTATTAGTTCAGGCAACCAACTTACTTAGAAATAG